TGAAATTTTTATCATTTACTTATTATGCTTCATTAAGTACTTATACAAAATTTTATTAAAATAAAACCATTTAAACTGGGTGTTCGGATTTATATGTCACTTAGTATACATTTTCAGCCAGAATAAAGTTAATCATACTGAAATCAAGTTGTGCTACGAAGGACGCAAAAGCCCGCGATAGATAAATCTATTACAACAGCGAAGAAAGAACGCATCCTATGCTTAGAAGAGAAGCCATTCTGAGAATGCGTATGACGAGGAAGGAGCAAGAAGAGAATATGCCTTCCTACTCAGCGTCTAAATATAGCCTCGGAGACGATTTGCATCGCGATTGCTTTGCTGTCACTTCGAAAAATGGTCGGCGGTTAAGTATCTCAACCGCGCGCCAGGAGATGCAAGTCAATGGCGTGCAGTGTCATTCCATCATCAGTTAGGAGACCATCGTAGGTTTTTCCATGCACTATCATTAATCCTCAAATGCACAATGCCGCGTTCGGCAAACGCTTCCCTCTAAGGTCGGAAATACTCATTTATGGTTAGTAGATTCCATACTCATACACCAGTCTCAGTGACGAAGTTTAGTATTTCAATCATTTTTGGTCTTTCAGCCAGTCTATGAAAGGCTCATCTAGAATACTAGGTAGGATGACCCTTACTAATGAAGTCTCATATAATCCTAATCGGACTATTAGTTCATTCGCAGAGTATTTCCAAAGTGTTTATGTTATAGATAATGAAACAGTGAAATTTAGGTGTTTTGTCGATAATAAAAAACTACTTGCAAATATCAAATTAGAATCGTGGACAGCAGTGTACTGTGCAACGAATGTTAATGATGCTGCAAACACACTCATTGAACGCATAAAATATTTAATTGAATGTAGTACAAACAGAGTTAAAATTAAACATTTTGACAGAAGCAGAAATCCCTGGATAACTAAAGGTTTGATAAAGTCTGCCAACAAAAAAGAGGAACTATACAAAATAATAATGAAAGCATCGCCATGTGCAGATACCTCCCATAAATATAAAGAATATAAAATATTTTTATCAATCTAGTTAGAGAAGCAAAACGCCAATTTTATTTAAAAAAATTACAAGATGCCAAATCTGATCCAAGAAAACTGTGGTCAGTTGTCGATCACTTAACTAACAAAGACGTTCAAGAAAAGCCAAATATTGATGAAATTAAGAATCGTGATGGAACAATATTAACAGAAAAACGACAAATATCCGATGCATTCTTAAATTTTTTCATTAATGTTGGAGAAAATTTAGCATCCAGTATTAAAAAAATGGTTTCGAACAAAAAGTTCACAAAAACCCAACTTCCCAATTCATTCTTTTTAGAAAGCGTTAGTTCGATTGAAGTACAAGAAGCTGTCCTATCACTTAAAACCAAAAAAAGTCCTGGTGTAGATGGTATCAAAGCCGACCATTTAAAAATAATAGCCTACGACTTAGCCGAACCACTTTCTTACGTCATTAATTGGTGTTTCCAATCTGGAATTTGTCCTGATGCATTTAAAACAACTGTTATTACTCCTGTTTATAAAAGCGGTGACAGAATGGAAACATCAAATTATAGACCCATATCAGTACTATCGAATATAGCCAAAATTTTCGAAAAATTACTACAAAAAGGGATATTACAATTTTTGGACAAAAACAAAATTATATGTTCTGACCAATATGGATTTAGAAAAGGAAAATCTACTACAGATGCAATTTTGGCTGCAATGGATGAAATTAACTCTAATGTCAACAAAAAGATACCTACTATTGGTATCTTTGTTGATCTAAAAAATGCCTTTGATACGGTTAACCATGTCGAGCTTCTGAAAGTTATGGAAAGATTGGGATTTAGGAAGCGTCACAAATCCTTTTGAAAAATTACCTTTCATGTCGGGCACAGACTGTCAAAATCACTAACACTTACAGTAAAAAAATGTACATCAAGTGTGGTGTGCCTCAAGGAACAGTACTAGGCCTACTATTATTTAGTCTCTACTTAAATGACTTATTCAAAATTAACAGTTCTGGAAAGATTATATGTTTTGCAGATGACACCCTCGTATTATATAAAGCTGATGACTGGAGCACACTGAAGCAAATAGCTGAAAAGGATTTTATAAGGATCATTGACTGGTTTGTTATTAAAATTTTAACAGTTAACTTCAAAAAAACAAAATTTATTGCATTTACATCCTATTCAAAATTTTTACCTACCTTCGAACAAATTTCCGTTAATTATCATGGCCAAAAGACCAAAATCGATAGAGTTAATACTTTGAAATATCTTGGAATATTTATAGACTCACATCTAAGGTGGGATAACCATATTAAATATGTTATCAAAAAATTAGAAATGTTGCCTATAAACTCAAAATGCTTGCTAACATTCTTACAGAAAGTTATCTGCGAATCCTATACCATGCCTTAGTTGAAACCCATATAATATACGGCATCACAGCCCGGGGTGCCGCCTGCAAGATATATATTTCTGACCTGAAGCACAAAAAACTGTTTTGAAAGCCATTTTCCATAAGCCAAGATTATATCCAACGAACAACTTATATCAGAAACAGGGATACTTGATACAAGACAACTTTATTTCTTACATGCCACCACCTTATTATACCATAAGTATTGTAATAAAAAGAAAAAATCCTATAAACACAAGCATAACACACGATTTCGAATAGGCTCATCTAATATCCAAAGACCACACAAAACATTATTCAAAAAATCGTTTAAATTCTTAGCAGCTAAATTATATAATGTAGTACCAAACGAAATAAAGATACTTAATTTTGGAAAAAAATTTAGAAGAAAATTGAAAGACTGGGTTCGTAATGTGCAGCGAATGACTATACATAATTATATAGAAAACTAAAACTACAAAATTCCAATTACATTAATACCTTTTAGATTTAACAATAATTGTTATACACATATATGATTGATTGTTAGTTATTAAGTTATAAACCACACACAGGCGATGCCTTCTGTGGTTTTTTCATATTTATTTGCCCATTTTTTGTATTTTGGCGAATAAATATTATTATTATTATTATTATTATTTATACCAACATCCCGTTGTTAATACTCAGCATGACTGTTTTAATCTGGGTAACCTCATAGATGAGGATATTCTAAAGACACTGTGTAAATTACCAAACAAGTTAACAACAGGAGAAGATATGGTACCGAGCTTTGTAGACCGTGATGCGCCGCACATATTTGTCACGCCTTTAAAGAAAATTTTTAATTATTCCCTCAGTACAGCAACTTTTGCTACAAAATGGAAACTGGCTAGAGTGTGCCCTATTTTTAAAGCAAAATCGAAAATTACCGAGCTATATATATATATATATATATATATATATATATATATCTATATTGGATAATTTTGGTAAAGCATTTGAGATATCTGTATATAACTTATATCTATCCTTTGACCTCGCATCTGATATCTGAGACGCAACATGGATTTATGCGCAATCGCTCTACTGTTTCTAACTTAACTGAAATCATCCTGGAAATTGCAGAGGTTTTAGATAATAGGATGTGGTCTATACGGATTTATCAAAGGCCTTCGATAAGATTAGTCACCAAAGAATCGTAGGTAAACTTCAGCTAACTATGTATAATCAACAATTCATTTAAATTCGCGGTACATTTCCTATCATGTGATAAATTTTTTAGTTTGATTTTATTCAAAAATGGCATCATTTATCCATATTCAATACGAGTACCTTTTTTATGTAGAAAACCCTAAATTTTCAAATTCTAAAACTGAATTACAAAAATAGAATCACTCAAAAATTTTGGGGCTAAAATAACCTGAGTCCGTCCCTGTTACATACGCTTCCAAACAAAACTGTATAAAATTGTTAATATTTTTAAATCCAGCATAAAAAACCGTCGGTTGAACGTTGCATACTGACCTGACACACTGACCCCGACCCAGTTCTGTCGTCGGGTTGAGACAGTGACCTTGTATCAGTCGGTGATGTTGCGGCTACAGGACGGTATTCAGATATTTTTGATGTTGCAGAGCCCTTTATCTCGGTTCTCTTAAGACATTGGTGTATATGGTACTAAGAAATATTGATTATGTTTTCAAGATCTACACGTCGTGTAAAGGAAAACCCCAATTTTGCGGACACCCTGTATATATAACGTGAGACGTGGTCATTGTCGTGTAGACCAGTTAGGTGAAAATTAAAGCTTCCGCCTTTTGTTGGGTACTTCAACAAAATTTAAGCAAGGAGGACTCTTTATACTTTTTTAATCTCTCTAGCTTTCAGTGGTCTTTGCCATCATCATCAGGAGCTGCAATTACATTGATAAAGTAGCAACAATTGTGTAAAATGAATTTAAATTAACTTACAGTATAAGGATGAGGGAAACACCCAGTAACATGGTGAAAGCTGGATACATGGTACAATGGTCAAAACTATACAAACTACACACAGCTGTATGACAAGAACAAATTAAAAACAGATTAAAAGTATTTAAAACGAAAGTTAAGCATTACATCGTGACGCCACTTGATGATTGCACAAAATGGTGGGCATAGAATCATGAGTAAGATGAACCTTTTGGGTTCTTTGTCAGTCGAGCGTTGGTGTCGATCCTACTGAGCATCATCTCACATTAAAATGCCACCTAAAACTAGCGGTAAGGCTGCCAAAAACGCGGCAAGGCGCAGAAGAATATCTCTAAGTCTGAAAAGAAAAAGAAGCGCACGGACTCTGGCGAGGGAACACAAGTGAATGCAACATGCACACATTCTGGCTCCGCCTACGAGATCCGCCGGGTGGTACCTCCGCGTTCGACAGTCAGATACCGTCTACCACCTACGGACAATCACAACATCCATAGCCAAGAGAAAAATTTCTCCTGGGACGGGACTCGAACCCGCACAGCGCAGGGCGACTGATCAGGAGACCGAAGATTCTACTACTGCGGCCACCGCTGCTGCCTGAGTGAGCATGAGCATCATGAACAGCTTCGTCAACGATATTTTCGAACGTATCGCTGCGGAAGCATCCATATTGGCACATTACAACAAACGTGCCACGATAACTAGCAGAGAAATTCAGACAGCCGTACGCCTATTGCTACCGGGAGAATTGGCCAAGCACGCCGTCAGCGAAGGTACCAAAGCCGTAACTAAGTACACCAGTTCAAAATAATATAGACGTTGTATTTCGCTTCGACGGTTGTACGGTTCGAAAAAAAAATATATATACAGGGTCCGCCAGAAAGAAAGCATGTTCTTCGAACGGGTACTACATCGAGTGGTCTGGTCCCGTGTCGGTGGGGAAGGGCGTGTTGGATAGTGGGACAAGTGCCGTTTCAGTTGGCAAGATGGTTTGGAACGTTGAGCATAGTGTTTTCACTGTACGTCGGTACTTTCAAAATGGCGAGTTCGAACGCAACGTGAGTTTAGCGTTTACTTTCGAGTTCCACGTCATGGGACAGTACCAGACCGTAACACCATTTTCAGATGGGTGGAAGCATTCAACACAACAGGTTATGTGATGAAGAAAAAACCGCCAGGCCGAAACCCCAAGAACGTAGACAGAGTGAGAGTTGACACGCTGCAAAGACCGAATCGTTCAGTCCCCAGTTCCTTAGGGATCCACACCTCCTCTGTACGTTCCATCCTGACAAAATCCAAGTTTGTCAACAACTGTTGCCAGAGGATTATGCACAACGTGTTAATTTTGCACAGCTCATGATTGAACAGTTGGATTACAGTAACATGACGTTGTTTATGAGAACAATTAGCAACATCCTCACATACTACTGTAAGTTAAGTCAATTTAAATTCATTTTACACTATTGTTGCTACTGTTATCAATGTAATTGCAGCTCCTGATGATGATGGCAAAGTCCATTGAAAGCTAGAGGGAATAAAAAAAGTATAAAGAGTCCTCTTTGCTTAAATTTTTGTCGAAGTACCCAAAATAAGGCGGAAGCTTTCACCTATATATATATATATATATATATATATATATATATATATATATATATATATGTCGTATTGTCGTCTAGACCAGTTAGGTGAAAAATAAAGCTTCCGCCTTTAGTTGGGTACTTCGACAAAATTCAAGCAATGAGGACTCTTTATACTTTATTAGCCTCTAGCTTTCAATGGACTATGCCATCATCATCAGGAGCTGCAATAACATTTAGAAGAAATAGCAACTATTGTGCAAAATGATTTTAAATTACTGACAATAGTATGTGAGATTGTTGCTAAATGTTATTAAAGGTTAAGTTGAGGGAAACAGTTAGTAACCTGGTGAAAACTGGATACATGGTATATTAGTTAAAATTAGTATAAAATACACATAGCTATATATCAGGAACACATCAAAATGGATTAGAATATTTGGAACGAAAGTTAAAATTATTACATGTTACATCGTGAAACAAGCTCATGCTGCACAAAATGATGTGGCACAGGATCATAAGTAGAATGAAACATTTGACAGATGACAGAAGGCTGGTCAGTGTCGATGGATGGAACGAAAATTTCTAAAAATGTTGCCAAATCACTTCAGATAGTGTGATTTATCAAAATGTGTTGAATAAAATATATATATATATATATATATATATATATATATATATATATATATATATATATATATATATATTCTTTTCAATGCATGATGCGAAGAAATTATAAAAGATGTGGTTTCCATTTGAAACAAAAATTATTTTAGTCATCCCGATTCAGAATAGAATCTACTAAATAAAACAGTTCTCATACTATAAAGAACCCGTTACAAGTCATATGGTAAAGGAAAATGTACGAGAGCAAAAATTATTCCTGGATTTTTGACGCAAAATTTGGGATATCTCAAATACGGATGGACTTATGTAGAGGATGATACGCACGAAACTTATTTAAAATCTCACGTAGAATCCAATAATTGAACATTATGCAGGGCGTTCTATTTAAAATAAGGAACTTAGTATCTATTTCCAATACAACAGGAAGTCCCATTATTTTGAAATTATTTTACACGAATTGCTACCATCAGTTTCACTATAAAACGAAATTGTCATACTGTAATGTAATCTAAGAGTATCTCTCATAGTTCTGATTGGTCTTTTGGATCACTATTATAAAACTGGAATTTCTAGAGAGCATCGACAATGTTTAAGGTCTGATGCGTCTTCAACAAGATAACACCAACACCAATTTCAACGTTGTCAATAATTACGTCCTTAAAGAGTCGACAAGTAGGACATCATGTTCAATGTGTGCTAACATATTCTAGAATACCTTCGAATTTGACGACGCAGTTTTATCAAGAAAACCGACAAAGAAGCTTATAACTATGACCAACGACTAGCAAGAAATACCTGTATTCATGTATAAAACGTATTAATGTAAAAATGTAAAAAGAATCATGAGGTGCTTTCTGTTTGGAGATACACGCATCCTCTCCTCCATTTCGTGCTGGTTAGGGAAACCAGTCGGCAAAATATACAGCAATGAGAAGTAAAATCACTGAAGAATTTCCGTTTCTAAATGGTTAACACTTTTTATCGACTTAATGTGGCTTGGTAAATTATTAAAGAGAAGACCGATTTTACTAGGTGATCGAAATGCTGCTTTAGATCTGCTAAGGTTTACATATAAAGTCACTAGTCATTGTATCATAATTATGCATATCACAATTTCGTTTAAGCGTATCTTTATTTTTAAAGGCATGTAAGCACAATTCATTTATACAGGGTGTCCGCAAAGTTGGGGTTTTCCTTTTCAGAAACAACTACCCTTGAAATAATAAAGGTAAGGTGTAGTGAAACGAGGGCGACCAAGTAAAAAAAATAAAGGAAAAAGTACTCACTCTCCAGTTGACGAGAAGGGCTAAGTACGTCTCTGCCCGAAATCATACCGCTCCAACAGAAAACGAAATCAGCTGATGATGAACAAGGAAGGCAAAATGTTGCGTAAAAAGTCTAGGTATTGCATCCCGTCCAATCGATTTGGGATAATAAATGGTCCAATGAGCATACCGTTCACCATGCCAGCCCAAACATTCACCGAAAATGTTTGTTGAAAATGTGCCCGATGGACAGCGTGCGGATTTTCTACTGACCAAACATGGGTGTTGCAAAAGTTATTCACTTATGCACTTCAAAAAGTCCGAATTATTGTCATGTTGATGCAACAACCACTCACAAAACCGCACTCTTGCTGGAAACTCGTCAGGTTGAAGGGCTTGTACACGTTGGACGTGAAACGGATACAGCCCCTCTTCACGGAGCGTTTGCCTCACTTTAGTTTTTGATACTTGCACTTCTCTAGCCACGTCTCTAGTGCTTGTTGAGGGATTCTCGTCTACGCGATTACCTCTACACGCGTGACCGTAACCGTCGGTTGAAGGTTGCATACTGACCTGACACACTGACCCCGACCCAGTTCTGTCGTCGGGTTGAGACAGTGACCTTGTACCAGTCGGTGATGTCGCGGCTACAGGACGGTATTCAGGTATTTTTGATGTTGCAGAGCCCTTTACCTCGGTTCCCTTAAGACATTGGTGTAGAAAGAAAGAAAAATTGCTTATGTTTTCAAGATCTACACGTCGTGTAAAGGAAACCCCCAACTTTGCGGACACCCTGTATACTACGAAGGGATAGTTATAATGTTAAAATCTATAAAATTATTTGTTGCAACTTTCTGTTGTACAAATACGTCTTCAGAGCGCGGTGACCCACCCCAGAATCCTACCCCATAACTTAATCTCATTTCTACATCAGCAAAGTAAATTTGTAGCAGTTGTTCAATTATGAGGATGGTTTCCAATTGCCTCAAAATATAGCTTTGAAAGTTTATTTTTAATATAAGGGATTCTACTGTGAATCCTTCCAATATAGGTTCGAATTTAATATGTAGTCCCAGAAATTCTGTTTCTCCTCTAAAACCGACTTGATCTTGAGCTATCTCATTCGAAAGTAGAGCATTTTTATTTCGCCCATTGGCGACCACAGAGTGACTCTACTATACCTAGTTTGTATACTTTGCCAGTCGTACAGTCGCCGAGTGGCCAGCATCGTAATTAAGAAAGTCACACTGTCTCATTATCGATCCTCCTTATTACTTCTCCCTCTGCTTACTTTTATGATCGTATTTTATGTTATTACTGCTTTTTATATGGATATCCTTAACGGGACATTCTCTTTTTTTATTCAAATGAGGATTTTGATATGGAAGCAGAAAGTCCTACACCGGCAATCGGCAGAACAGAGTCATTGGACCGTTGGGCTTTTTTACAGAACGAGGAAGGATCAAGTTGGCTTGGGGGTAACGATTGGTCCTGTTCTTGAAAACATAATGTTATCGATGTAATTATTTACTCTTTGTTGACTATGATTAGGAATCCCTCGAAAAGTCATCGCCGAACATGTAAACGTAGTTAATTCGCGGATTTAGTACCTATTAGTATTTAACCGACACAAATTCGGCAGACTATATATACCAATGCCTACCAAAGTGCCAGAATTGTATTAACATGATAATAGTATTTACTGGTGAAAAGATTTACCTTCATTAAGATTCTGCCGCTCTTTGCATATTGTGTAAGAAGTACCATGTCTAGAAGCACAATTATTATCTGCAAACACTCGCACTTCTAAACAATAACACTAAATATACGAATTTAATGACAGAACACTTTAAGCGACTCGGTTTGTAATAGCTGTCAAATGATGACGTCGCATACTGGTCCTTCTGTGACGCCACCGTTTATGACAGTTGAGACCAATAATAACCTTGCGCAGGAGGTAGATTATATGCGGTTCTTGTATGCCAAACGTCCATCCACAAATGTAACTTAACCCTTTCCTATTCTTTTATGCCTTTCGTGTTTGTTTTGGTCGTCAGTGACATAATTTTCAGTTAAAGAAACTATACTAAGTGACATATAAATCCGAACACCCAGTTTAAATGGTTTTATTTTAATAAAATTCTGTATAAGTACTTAATGAAGCATAATAAGTAAATGATGAAAATTTCAAAATGATTGCAATGCTTTGAAGCCCTTTGACCTTTAATAATGTGTGGATGCAACCTGATGTGCTACGCATTCTCCAACGCGCCTAGGCATGCTTCTGATCAGGTGGTCAATGTCCTCCTGTGGTATAGTTTCAATGGTGTCGTCCATCATTCTTTCTTGAGCAGAATTTTAAAAATATGTAATCAGTTGCATTGTTAATATAACAGTATTTATATTTACTATATTTGAATTGTATTGTTTGTTATAAATAGCGTCAGGCATGCAACATTTTTTCAGGTTAAATTAAAACAGATGAAATTTCTTTTTGCCATAAGAGCTCTATGTCCGTTCCTAATAAAACCTTCCACACTGTCTCTCCACTCTAGACTCTAGTGCTCCGAATGTCCGAATTGACCAAGCCTCTACATTCGTGAACATTTTTTGGTTGTCATTGAATCAGAGGTGGAATGGTTAGGTGGAAAGGTTCTGGAAACATAATAAAATGGCGATCATGATGCCACAGCGTCAGCGACAGAAATTAAAAATTAATTCCGTTCCCTTCACCCTCCTGTCTCCTGTATTTACAGTAACAGGCTAACAGGTACTGAAGTAGTTGTAATTAATTAAAGTTATAGACGATAAGCGGCATCTCAGCGACATCTATCGGCGCCGACGATGAAGCCCAGATGTTCCTTAAAGCGAGAGCGTAATCTACCAATTTCTAAGCATTGCGTTGTAATATCGAATAAGCGTTTTCCCATCACTAAGGCACACCGTTCTGTGGTGTGACTAGTCCGAGGTAACCGGAGCTACATTTTATGGCGCTGTTGCCAGCTAATGAATTTTCACGGCTATTTGCTTATTGACAACTAGCAATTACGTAAGCGACCTCCGGCGAATATCTTAAAAAGCAGTAAACAAACTAATGAGCCTTCAGATTCTGATTCAATTAGCAAAATATATCGGAAAAGCTTTTTGTATGCACTGTGTACCTGTTACTTTATTATCTATAACGTGAACTCGTACGAAGCGGATCAGTACTCAACCCAGGCGATGGCTGCGTTTGTAAACATAACCTTTACACATCGATTCTAAAAAAAAAATGGTACACTCTTGCAGCAATATCGGAGTTGTCCATATTATTTTGATTCGAAATGCAGATCGTTATTAAAGATCCTTGGTGGTATATTTTTTCTGTTTGGGTCGAAATGAAATGTTTCGTGAATAAAACTGTATATGAGCATATATGACCACATAAATGGCAACAGTGTCATCTATAAATTAGCCTGTTAAAAAAAGATTTCTAATTATTACGAAGAATAGAAGCATATCTGTCTCGAATAATTTTTTTTGGCGTCGAAATAGTACATGGTTGACTATTTTCAGGTAGAATATGTGAATCAATGCTTAAAGCTATAACCTGACAAAAATAAATCCTAGAAAATTCAATCAAACAATTTTTCAAATATAATCGGTTTATTTACATAACAATAAATCACATGAGTACAAATCGGGAAAAGTCACTAACAATAAAGGTTTTTCAGGAAATTCGAAGCAAACAGGGGAAAGAATCCTACTTAATTTGAAGAAAATAGCTCAAAGAACAGACTACATGGCTAGATTCTGGACTTAGGCCGTTAACATCATTTGAAGCATTGTTTTTATTAGGTAGATAGACAAATGTCAATGCTTCGACTAAGAATGAAACCGTAATGCATGGAAAAGCTATGACACCAGTTCATTGGTAGAACAAATTTTATTTTATCGTTTTCTGTTTCTGTGCGAAAAGCAAAGTATCAGTAAACGCACAAGATGATATAAATGCCTTCCTATTACCATGCTGGCAACATCGACATGGGTTGCAATTGCTTAGACAAGATGACAACAAAACTGATGTTTCGCTATTCCTCCACAGATGGCACGTGCAGCTTATGGGCTGTTTTAGACATCTAAGCAATGTTGCCGAACCTACATTTCCATATTTCCTCAGAAATGAGATTTTATTTAGCGAAATTATATAATTCGGGTATTTCCAGATTTCTTACTAAAAAATGGTTATATATGAGTACACATCCCTTAAATCGCATTCCCTGTATTGGTTTTTGTGCGTACAAGAGGTACCTCATCACCGAACAAGCAATAAAAGGAAACCCTCATCTGTTTTTTATAATGAAATATTAAATTAAAATGTCAGATGATGAAGTTTCAAATGCAGGGATGTTATGTGTGCGCGCGCAATTCAAAAATATTTTTTTTCAAAGACGGCGCTGCGTGAAGCAAAGGCCTTGATCCACTATTTATCTTGCATTGGCTCTGATTTTTCCTCCTACTGATTTTGTCATTGAATCTACCGAATTCCAATGATACTATCTACCGATTTCGTCTTCTTCGGTTCGGCAACACTGCACGTAGGCTTCGGATTTTTGTTTAGAGATGAACTTGTTAGCTGTCACACTTTTGTCACTAATAGAAAATAACAGCATATTTATACGAGGACATCTAGTCCCCTGAATTAACCAGTTAAGTACAGATTTCACATTTAACAATACTTGTTTTGCTTCTTGGTGACATATAAAAATACTGTTTGATGCGAATAATTACATACATACATTTTCAAATTCAAACTGTTAGTACCTATCGTTACACCTACCTAAGTTTAGAATCTCTGTGTAGGCGACGTAAAAATACGCTATGACATTATTTTCCGTTTAGGCTCTGCAAAATTTATTATCCTGGAGGTATATGCAGATACTATGCGATTTGTTCCAAGAGTGATTCTGAACTAATTTAAAAACGATGTAAATTAAAAATTGGTTTTAGCAGCATGAGTGTCAGTAATTCAGCATAAAATTAGTCCAAAAACCAGAATTCAGAAAATGTTAGCAAACCTCAAAAGAAGAATCCTTCCGATTTAGATGACAACTGTGACACCTGTCTAGGGATGTTCGATACGATCCGATTTTTAGAAGAATCGATACTTCTGCTTCTGATACCCGATATTTTGGATCGATATTTTTATAAACGATACTTGGGTGTATCGATAGATTTCACGACTATGGTTATATTTCCATTCGGCTGTGTCAGAAAGAGTGATTCACTTCAGATTGCTTTTGTTCTTTGTTTCCTTCCGCTGGTGCTACTCACTTCACGACTTCACATACTTTATTTTGGATTCCAGGGATACCAGAGGGTTTAATTCAATGTGGAAGAAGATTTTAGGGATATTTTTTTAGAGTTTTTTGGGGAAACACATTTAACGGGGGTGGGGGTTATTATTATGTAAAATTTTTTTAAGATACCTAACAAATCATAAACCTATGTAACGAAAAATAAATGGTATTTTTTGGGGATCCTGTATTTAGTGGATTTTTACATTTCAACTGGGGAAACTGAGCTGGATTCTATTTTGGGGAATTACACACACATGACAGACAGTGATATAGTAATGATTGATTAAGCATTATAGTTCAAAACAAAACATTATTCCCTGGTATTTTTTGATCTATTTTTATTAGTGATACTTGTGGTATCGATATTTTCATTTCGATATTTTAGAGTATTAATACTTCCTAAAACGATACGAATCGATACTTTTGGTGGATCGGAACATCCCTATACCTGTCAAATGACAGATGTCTGACACTCGACACGTAAGTAGCGGCTATTGATACTCGCTTTAAGTTTTTCAAAAGTTAAATGATGGTTTGTGAGTTCAGAACCGCTCAGCGTCTTTTTTTGGAACGAATTTACAAATAAAAATAAATAGTATTCTCAGGATAAAGGCGACGTTAGTAAAACACTTTTGCACATTTAGAGGAATTAATAAATGTGTAAGGTTGCTTATACAGTGCGAAAATTTTATGAAAACTGAAAGGAATACATCTCCATTACCTCTGTGTAAACGTTCACGTTCCTAAAACAGCTCAAATGAGCCTTATCAACAAAACAGTTCTATATACACAAGACAAACAAATGAACAAACTCACAGTCTAACAAATATTCAGATAATAAATATATTAATATCGTTTTCAATACTTTGGCCTTCATATCACTACATCGAATAAGTTTTTACAGTATTAGCAATGGCTATCACAGTGTTAAATACTTTTAATTTCTGAATATCGATATCACAGCAATAATCAAAACTTCAAGGCCAGCCATAATGTTTTAGTCTGTTTTCCACATAATGTGTAGCGATGATGTTTAAAGATATGTCGAATCTTTCTGTACTATACTATTTTATAGTTAACGGAAAACATTCAGTAAAATATACTAGTAAAAACTTCAAGCATTAAAAGTGGTAATTACAGTAATTACAAAGTTGGGGTTTTCCTTTACACGACGTGTAGATCTTGAAAACATAAGCAATTTTTCTTAGTACCATATACACCAATGTCTTAAGGGAACCGAGATAAAGGGCTCTGCAATATCAAAAATATCTGAATACCGTCCTGTAGCCGCGACCCGCGACTGGCTCAACCCGACGACAGAACTGGGTCGGGGTCAGTGTGTCAGGTCAGTATGCAACCTTCAACCGACGGTTACGGTCACGCGTGTAGAGGTAATCGCGTAGACGAGAATCCCACAACAAGCACTAGAGGCGTGGCTAGAGAAGTGCAAGTATCAAAAACTAAAGTGTGGCAAACGCTGCGTGAAGAGGGGCTGTATCCGTTTCACGTCCAACGTGTCCAAGCCCTTCAACCTGACGATTTTCCAGCAAGAGTGCAGTTTTGTAAGTGGTTGTTGCATCAACATGACAATAATCCGGAGTTTTTGAAGTGCATATTGGTGACAGACGAATCTACGTTCACGCGTAATGGGGTGAATAACTTTCGCAACACTCATGTTTGGTCAGTAGAAAATCCGCACGCTGTCCGTCGGGCACATTTTCGGTGAATGTTTGGGCTGGTATGGTGAACGGTATGCTCATTGTACCATTTATTCTCCCAAATCGATTGGCCGGAATGCAATACCTAGACTTTTTACGCAATATTTTGCCTTCCTTGTTAGATGTGCCATTTAGTGTAAGACAATCAATGTGGTTTCTGCGTCTGCTCGGTAGCGCTTCAGCTGATTTCATTTTCTGTTGGAGCGGTATGATTTCGGGCAGAGACATACTTAGTCATTCTCGTCAACTGGAGAGTGAGTACTTTTTCCTTTATTTTTTTTACTTGGTCGCCCTCGTTTCACTACACATTACCTTTGTTATTTCAAGGGTAGTTGTTTCTGAAAAGGAAAACCCCAACTTTGCGGACCCCTGTTTATATCCGAATTAAAATATTCAAAACTGTGTTGGCCACTGTAAAAATTAATAATAGCAGTATAATAATAATTCACGAAACACACGTCATATCTAACATCAATACTTGCGAAGGTTTAACAGTTTACAATTTTTCAACAAATGCACAAAGAGGGAGTAGAGGACAGAGGTTTGCTAAAATGAAATTATATTCAGCTACTTTGCGAGCTTTCTTTCGAACAAGCTTAATTAGGTCCGTAGAAAGGTTCACTTTAAAAAAGGGTTCTCCAGAATAACATGTTAATCTCTCGGATACGTATAGAATACAAAAAGGGGCATCAGCAGTAGCTTGACTGTCAGGATCAACAGTTAATAAATACATACATGTTACCCCTTCAACATATAGGCAACCAGAATTACACAACCCTGTTATTTCCATGCCATCACTGATGCACTTACAAATTGATCAGGGTTGCCAAGTGTGGTGATTTTTCACCAAATCTGGTGACTTCTTGCCCGTTTGTATCCATCACATATTTGCAAAAATTCTTTATTTATTAAATGTATCAAGGAGATTCGAAAGTAAGATATTAGTGGTCCAACTAGATTCGCCCAGGGGGTCATGAGTCATGACACCCCCGGATCAAAGGTACAGCCGATGGTACCTATAAAAAATGTCGTAGCGAGCTCATCTGCGGATGCACAGGATATCCGGTTCTCTCAAATAATTTCCGAACTACACTGGCAACGCAATTTTGACAGCTTAATAACCAGATGGCGCCTTGAATGACGATGTCTATAGATAACATTTTGAACATAACGAGATATATTTTACACCCTGTACAATAATGGCTCAAAAGTAACATTTTTGGAAAGCATTCATCTGAAAAAAATGTGATTTCAACAAAATTGTTTCAGCTGTTTATTGTCCTTGTACACCAAGATGTGCGTGGTGTTATTTTTGTATTCTGCATAGCACCAAGAAACTGACCAGTTATTTTGGAATACCCTGGATGCTAGTGATTTCGGTAACCTCAATGTAATCTCATCCTAATTCCCTCTTCATCTAAGCAGCAAAACACTCACATTTATAAAAAAATAGTGACTATGTATTTAAATTTAATTCGTTAACATCGCTTAGTATGATTACTTTGTTCTCGATAACTGCGACGGGCTCATATTTAACCTTTTATGCCTCAAGAAAAAAATGAACCAAAAGTGTACGCTGTAAGAAATGTCGAAGTTTACCTATCAAAACACATAAGGTCGCTTCATCACTATGAATGTTGAATAGCCGTGTTCAAAAATAGATATAATTCCTTTCTTGAGGTTAAATTATAATTTTGAATCTGTCGCAATTATCTGTTAATAACTAGTAAGACGAAGATGAAATGTATGATGTGGGAAAAATGATTGACAAATATCGTTTAGAGAATAACGTAAACAAGGTGCTCTAAGTCAAGTCAGTCCTTATATATGTGCTGTGTTCCGTTTACAAATCATCCAAGTTCAAAATAGAAAAACTCATTTGTGTATATAGTGAAGCAAATCCAGTAATTTCAGGACTTACCGCACTTTGGGGTTTTTTGTTTTTTCCTGGATCATACATCATACCAGGGCTATAAAGCACTTTAGTTTTACCATTTTGCGGTATACGGTATGTTCCACTCAAGACAAACTTCACATCAAATGTGTCAAACAGCTGATTTCAAAAAGGTGGATCTATATAGCCTTCAATTTTTGAAAATATCTAATAAACGCAACAAATAATACTGCAAAAAATTTTCAAATCAAAATTATAGGATTGTCACAGCGCAAAATATATTTTATGCTCATTTACAATATTCACTACTTATTTCTGTATATTGAATTTAATTTGTCTATGGAACACTCCGTATACGTATACTGTACACGGCAAAATAATAATCTACAATAATAATTCGTCAAAAGCAACATGTTAGTTGTGCATGCGGTGAGAAAGCAAGCAAACTAAAATGCAGCTGAAAAGCTTCTTTATGCAACATGTAAACTTGTTTAGTTTTGTTTGTTATTGTCTGTATGCTATTAAATTAATATCTGTTTTGATTTGGCGTTTCTTATAGTAAAGGAAATTGAAATGCAAAATATCGGATACTCTCAGAATTCTACCATAAACGAATCTAAAACGTACTGTGCTATCACAGCGCCAAAAAGGCATTTACAACTGTGTTGAACGTTAAATTGCAAAAAATAATGTTTACCTCTTTGTGTCATGAAGACCTTATCAATATGATAATTTTTCATGAATCAGAATTTATTACGAACACCTAAGAGGGAATTGAAAGAGTAACATATCCAAGGTAACATCCAGTGACCATTAGAAAATCTTAAGCAAGTAACCGAACTGCATGGGCGCCCGCAGGGGGGCGATCATCGGCAAGAGATAGCTTTCTTTTGAGACGTACCTGCTCACAAACATTTCGAAAAGCGGGGTAGCAAATTTTCCAAAGGGAAGCCAGAACTAAAAGATCCTAAAAATTGTGCAACAACTCAACCGGACTGAGCCCCCTCTGCTCCCCCTGCAGGCGCCCGTGCCTTACTTGTACTTTGCGCGGTATTACCATATCCCAAAAGCAAATGCTCTTTTCAAGGGATGAATGGAAACATAGAACCAATTTTATATCAAGTCTTGCAGCGTTCCGCTACACTCAATCACTTAGAAAGCCACCATAATCGCACATCATCTATTGAAACATCATTTCATCATCCCCAACTTCATCTTTACTAGCATTACTCGCGTTTATACCCGCCCTCGCTATACTATTTCCGATATACTTCAGCAACGCTGCCCCCCTAACTGTTAGCTCCTCCTTCCGATTGCCTTCGTCCAATCACAACCGTTCGTCTCTTTGCCGCGCCTCCTCTTCGCTCTCTTCGGCGTGTTCTCTGAGCAACAGCGGGCTGCTATCCCCGCCCTTCATGTTCCGCGCTTTCAGGTTGGTGCGCGAGTTGCTTTTAGCTCCGCCCATTGCGGGCTTGGATGTGCCTGCCTTGTGGTACTGGTGGTGGTGGGCGGGGAAAGAGGGAGGCGGAGCTCCAGAGGGTGTGCAGGGTGCTGAGCGCGAAAGCCAGCTGCGAGAAAATACTGGAAGAGACAATATTGTTTACCAGTGAAGTCGAGTCAAGTAGGTTGACTCTGTAAGTCGAACGCAGCGCCCTTAGAAAAAGCTAGCCGTGAACATGTATAACGAAGGAATTATATGGATCACGTCAAAGAGATCTGTCAGCCCTACCGTGAGCACTGTCCGTTCGGAAACGTTGCGATCTCATATGCGATGAGTGAACCTTGGTAGCTGCCAGCTCAGGTTTATCGTCTATTTTCGAGGTATTCGACGAGGATATAAAAAATACATTTTCGGTCTAAAGGGCAAATATAAGTTAAAAATCGCTTTGAAATGAAGTAATCTCAAAATACTCTTTGGGGTCTTGTAAAGCAAGGTTTAGACTGTTTACCCATTTTTAAGGATTTTCAGACATTATTCTCTTTAGAGAAAAGTTAATGAAAGCCTTTTTCATTCGGAGTGATTCAGAAAAACTGAAAAAAACTGTTCGAACAAAAAAAATTAATTTATGTATGAAAAATAATATCGCTCAAATGTTCACCACGACTGGATTTACAGACGCCCACGCGATGGTCGAAATTTTCAATGACATTTTGCAATATGGTCGGTTCTGTGGCATTTATCTCTGCAATGATGTTGCTTTTGAGTTCTCGGAGGGTGGCTGGTTTGTTGACGTAGACTTTGCTTTTCAAATATCCCCATAAAAAGAAGTCCAAGGGAGTCAAATCGCACGATCTTGGTGGCCATGGCACATTTCCTCTGCGCGAAATCGATCACCGAAGAAGGACTGCAATCGATAGGTATTGACGTTGGTTGTGTGGCATGTTGCACCGTCTTGTTGGAAATAAACATCGTCCATACCCATTCCTTCAAGTTGCGGCAAAAAATAGTCCTCTATCATCACGTGATATCGCTCAGAATTGACGGTAACGGCGTCCCCGGCCGCATTTTCGAAAAAGTAAGGTCCGATGATGCCTTTTGACCACAATGCACACCACACAGTCACTTTTTGAGGATGCATCGGCTGCTCTTGATACTCACGGGGATTTTCGTTCGCCCAGATGCGGCAGTTTTGCTTGTTTACCGTCCCATTCAAAGTGAAATGCGCTTCGTCGCTGAACATGATTTTTGATGAAAAATTGGCATCAATTTGGCGGTGTTCAAGGAGCCAATCTGAGAACGTTCGGCGCGAAAAATGGTCGGCCCGACGCAGCTCTTGCGTCAATTGGATCTTGTAGGCGTGTACATTCAAATCCTTGTGGAGAATGCGGAGCAAACTGGTTCTCGAAATGTCCAATTCTTGCGTTGTTGATTGTTTCGGATCGTCTCTCACACTCTCCTTCACAACAGCAATATTTTCCGGTGTGCGAACGCTCCTTGGCCGGCCAGAGCCTGGCAGATTTGCCACAGAACCTGTTGCCTCGAATTTACGCACCAGACGATCGATGGTTGTTTCGTTTGGGCGGTTGTTTTGACCGAAATGTTCACGAAGCGCGCGAAACGTGTTTTTTATTTTTGCACCATTATTGTAGTGCTCTTGAATAACTTTAATGCGGTCTTCAATCGAATACGACTCCATAGCGATCAATGGTAAACATTCAACTAACAAAATGACATGTCGGTGACAGAAAACAAAGATGGCGTCTATGTCAAATTGACGTTTACTTTCCTGCGTCCCTATTAGACAACCCTTATATCTAATAGGTAAGTAGAACTACTTCGGTTAGCGTATAAATATACTAATGCCAAATCATAATGTTATGCTTCCCTTGCCCAGAAAACAATGCTGGAAATGTTTAGGATTGTCACAAATATTAAAAAACGAAGTTCGGGTAATTTTTACTTTTTTATTTTCACCGGTAGCTCCGCCGCTAAAGATCAGCGGACAGACATAGATAGATAGCCAGATAGGCAAACAAGCCAAAGGTATCTGAATTCTTTTTGATGTTAGGGGTGTGTCAAATTCGACCCTCACCATTGAGATCTCGGAAAGTTGTGTATTTAGGTAATCAACAAAATGCAGCTTAGAAAGTTTCGAAATCGTTTTAATTTTTTTCTGACTTTAAATTGCACATTATCATCGTCACTTTTTCTCCTCTACAAGAAAGCATAATTAGAATTTCAATATGACGTTTCGTCTCTTGTCCTCAAACATCAACTATTTTTTCTTATAAACGCCATATTGGATTTGAATATAGTGCTTAATTTTGATTCCAAAAATGTATCATACATCATGCAAACCTTAGTTATTTCAAAAAAATCCGAATTTTCTATGTAGGCCTTGAAATTATCACATATTCATTTGTTTCGCATACTACTTACTTTCTCGTATACGAAACAAATGAAATCTGATAATGTCAAGGCCTACCTAGGGATTTATGTTTATCTGGAATAACTAAGGTTTGGCAGTGTCAATGTATGACATATTTTGACAGAAACTCAATACGGCGTCCATAAGAGAAAATAAAGTTGATGCTGGAGCACAAGAGATGAAATTCAGTAGAGGATAAAAAATGATAACGTCAATGTGCAATGTATTTTGGAATCCCAGCATAAATGAAGTCAGGAAAAAATGCAGCGGTGCCGCGATGGAAAGCACAACGTTGCCAGATGGTCAGTAACTACCGATAGAACAAGGAAATAATGTGTATGGCTAATTGTAACATAGGGGGAATCCGGGAGACTTGCCCAGGTGGGAGACTTGCTCCTCCGTGATATATTTACTTTAAAATTGAGCACCATAATCTGAAACGAGAGAAAACGGGACGCCCTCTAGTGCTTCTAGGCGTCTACGAAATCCTAGTTGACTTTACTCAGTTTGTTTTGTATCTGACCCGAGGCATGTGGCTTTTTGCATTTAAACCAAAAATTAATACTTTTACAAATTTCGTGATTTTGTGGGCAAATTAAAAGGTACGTTTTAGATTCTTGTGTGGGTATATTAATTATACATTGTAGATTTATGCACCATAAATGTTAAACGTGCACTATTCATGATTTTTAAGAAAATTGAACCTAACCTGAAAAAGAAAGGTGTGGGAGACTGGCCCATACCTCAGGAGGGAGACTTGCCCAGAGGGGCAACTCTCCCTTTCTGATGTAATTCTAAATTGGGATTTGTTTTTAATTAATTTTAGTAAATGTTGATGCATTTTTTTTATTACAGGTCTGTACAATGCCATTTAAGTACAAAACAAAAGACGGTTCCACTCGCAAAAAACTTGATAAGGATGTTCTTAAAAATGCACTAGATGAACTAGGAATTCTTCGAAAAGCTTCTGCAAAATATGATATTGATCGGAGGACTTTGAGACGCTACAAAAACAATAAAAATAAACTTGAAAAAATAGAAACTAAGGGCCAGAATAATACTTCACAAATATTCACCATACAAGAAGAGAAGCTTCTGGTTGAATATTTTTTAAATTGCAGCAAAATGCACTATGGACTTACTCGAAAACAAGGAATGAAATTAGCTTTTGAGTTTGCAGTTTCGAATTCCAAAAAAATTCCAGAAAGTTGGTCAAAAAATAGTATGGCAGGGAAGGATTGGTTTCGCGGTTTTTTAGAAAGAAATCCCGAAATTAGTTTAAGAACTCCGGAGGAAACAAGCTTGTCACGATCTACAAGCTTCAATCGGAAGAGTGTACACGATTTTTTTCAAAACTTAAGGATCGTACGAGAAAAATTTAAGTTTGAACCACAAAGTATGTATAACCGTGATGAAGTAGGATGTACTACAGTACAGGATTGTCCTAAGGTATTGGCCAGTAAAAAAGCTAAGCAGGTTGGACAAGTTACTTCATCAGAGAGGGGCACTTTGGTGACAGTTTGTTTTGCAGTCAATGCAATTGGAAGCGTTATTCCACCCTTTTTTATATTCCCTCGTATCAAATATCGAGAAGACTTCATTTCTGATGGCCCAGAAGGTTCATACTTTTTTAAAATTGTTTTTATTTGTTTTTTGCATTAAAGTTATATATTGTTTATTCTGATTTCAAAGATTTAGATTTAGTTTCGTACTTGAATAAGTAAAGTTTTTTGTTTTATTTTTTGAGTTTTTCGAATACAAAAGTTATTAATTACATTTGTTTTTATTAAATAAGGGGGGTGGGCAACTCTCCTTCTGACTATGGGCAAGTCTCCCGCATATGTGGGAGAGTTGCCCATGTTTTCAAAAAAATAAAAAAACTATATATTTTTTTCTGACTTAATTTTTTAAGATTTAAATGATAAAACAAGGTTCCTAAAAATATATGCTACGAAGGCATCTAAAATTTATTGATTTATAAAAATAGGAACAAATTTTATCACCAATAATAACTTGGAAGGGGCAATTCTCCCGGACTTCCCCTACATATACGTCTTTGACTGTCTGTCCACAACTGACTTGCGTAAGAAGTGAGGAGTCAACCTACTTGATGCCATTATATTTGCCTATAAACGCTAATTGACAATAATAAATGATGATAATTGAATAATTTCTTACCGCTTCTACTCTTAGCTCCATCCCCGCTGTTCAAAGGCATATACATCGTCTTGGCCCTAATCTTATGGAAGCAGCCTCTACTAATAGGTTTTTCCTTTTCTTTTTCCGGATGCATCTGTGGGCTCTTCTGCTGAGGAAGCTGTTGAATCTTATCCAACAAATGGCGCATTTCGGCGGTAGGACTCGTTGCTCTAGGTGGAGAGCCCGGAGAGCCCAAGTTCGCTAGGCTGCTGATATCTGAACCTATGCTGTTCGTGACGCTGAACTGGAACTCCTGAAATGAAAATGCTCTATTCGATCAACTCCAATCAGCGAACAGTCAAACACAATTGTAATGAGTTTTGCAGATTGCTATGTACAGGGTGACCCATAACACTGGACAACAAATTTTAGCTTTTTAATTGTATCTTGTGGGAAAAGTGCACTTCTTTGTTAATTTTGGGGCGCTGATTCCAAAAATGACAATGAAATAAAAAAATTAGTTGCGGTTTAGAAAAAAACTTTTTATTTTTAAGGATATATTAAAAAAGTAACAAGATTCATATACGTATACTTATAAGAATCACTATATGCGCTGTCTTTTTGCTGTTCTTTTATGGATCATTTCTGGAGCATCTCTACCAAGAGTCCAACAGTAGTCTGCAAGCATGGAAGGATTCCACTTTCCCTGGTACCTTTTTTCCATTGTTGAAATATCCTGATGAAAACGTTCGCCGTGCTCATCACTTACGGCTCCGCAATTGTCAGGAAAAAAGTCCAGGTGTGAGTGTAGGAAATGTATCTTAAGAGACATATTACAGCCCATCTTTTGATACGATGACATCATATTTTTGACAAGGGTTTTATAACTGTCAGCTTTTCTATTTCCCAAGAAATTAGTGACCACCAGACGGAAATCATTCCAAGCAGTTTTTTCAATACCTGTTAAAGTGTTTTCAAACTGTGTATCTTTCAAAATATTTCGAATCTGTGGCCCAACAAAAATACCTTCTTTAACCTTTGCCTCACTTAGTCTTGGAAATTTCTGACGCAGGTATTGAAAAGCTGACCCATCTCTATCTAATGCCTTGACAAAGTTTTTCATTAGGCCCATCTTGATATGCAGTGGTGGTAATAAACTTTTTTTTTGCGAATCTACTAATGGCATATGCTGTACATTTTTTTGACCTGGCTCTAGAAATTGACGAACAGGCCAGTTTTGCCTGGTGTAATGAAGTGCCTTTGTCCGACTGTCCCATTCACACAAAAAACAGCAAAAGTTTGTGTAGCCTAGCTGCAGCCCAAGTAAAAGTGCAACAACTTTCAAATCGCCACAAATATGCCATTGGTGCTCATCGTATTTTATGCATGTCAATAGGTACTTCATATTGTCATATGATTATTTCATGTGAACTGCATACCCTACGGGAAGAGATGGTAAAATATTTCCAATCCAATATGCAATAACACTGCCTTTAAACTCAATGTTGAACTGTCTATAAACAATCTCCATTCTTCTGGGTTATAGTTTATATTTAAAGCCGCCAGTAAGCCGTTAATGTTACTGCAGAAAACCAAGTTATTCTCCATATTGAAAAATGGGTCTTTGTGGCGTTTACGAAAAACACATACCGAAACATCGTCTTCTAGCAAGTTCCACTGCTGCAGTCTTGCAGTCTGCCTTACATTTTGGAAGTACTAAATCTCTTACAAGATCATTTAATTCTGACTCTGTTATTTTGTGCGGTTGGTGGCATCACGTGCTCGCTTTAAAATCAGGATCTCTTGACGTTGATGGCATATCTTCTTCCTGACGAATCACTCGATCGCCATGATCTGATTCGTTTTCTGATTCGCAAGTGTAGGATTCTGGGAGTTTTGGAATAGGATTTTCGTCACTGTGAGGCACAGGTCTCATCGCAGATGGTATGTTGGGGTAGTTAATAACCGATTTTTTTTTCTTGGACATACCTGTGGCTTGTCCAACACAAGGTACCATGCAAAAGTAACAATCATTAATATGATTTGTAGGCTCTCTCCAAACCATTGGGACAGCAAAGCGCATAGATCGTTTTTTTCCATTTAACCAGCTCCTCAGACTTGAAGCACATGTATTACAGCAGATGTGGGGTGCCCACTGTTTGTCTTGATCACCTAGTTTACAACCGAAATAAAGCTGATATGCCTTTGTTATTAGTGGAGTAATAGACCGTCTCTGAGACGCAAAAGTCACATCACCACACACGTAACAAAACTGATCTGGATTGTTTACACACTTTCGAGACATCTTGCTTGAACGCTGTCAGCCAACTGAGGAAGAAATGGCTAATATAAAACAATATAATGTACACGTATGTATAACGTAACACAATCATGCCGATTACATCATCTTTCCTTGCCGAATATAAAAATGTAGCACGTGCATTCTTGTGAATTACAGTATATTAACACTGTCACAGCAGGAACACATATAATTACCGTATCTCTAAAACTTGAACTAATATTGAAAAAATAAGTTTCATTCCGGTTTTAGCACATTAAGAATAGAAATATTTTGTTGATTTTATTTAGGATATTTTTTGGCTGTTGATCAGTGTAATAGAGAGCTGTCCTTTGTTTAAGCCTACATTTGGCAACAGTGTCAATTTTAACACGTTCTTCTAATGTAGCAATTTTCTTTGAATACCTCAGAAATCAAATTAATTAGTTTTTCAGTGAATATCGTCAGTAGAAAGGTGAAGATCATTGAAAAAATATCCTCAAGTCAAGTTATACTCAGTGATAAAAGAAGTTGTAAGTGTTTTTAATCCAATTTTAATAAGAGTATGCCAGCATACGATTCCTAACCTAAGTTTTTTTGGCGGAACAATCCTGTAACCCTATGTCTGGTGCTGTAGCCTGTAGGCAACATCATCTTTAAACCTCAATTTCTCGTCCTCCCTGCTCTAACGGTCTGATTGGGCAGTGTTGCGCGTAAGCTACATTATTCATTAACGGAAATAATATTATCAGCGACCTCTCTTTATAAAAAGTTGAGTCAAAATTTTCAATATGGTTGCTGCGTAACAGGTGTTTGGTGCACGTATGAATCTGTAGTTGGGATTTTAGTTTCAAATGGTAAGTAATCACTTGTTTTATGTTCCATTAGCCTTGGTTGGTATAAAAGAAGGTTGAGTCTTTATGTTTATGATTATTTTTAAGCGATAGATCAGAACATAAGGCAGGAAAATGACTTTGTTTAGTATGTATCTCTCAAGCAACATTGCCAGAATAATTACGTCTTCCGATCTGGATAATTTTCCAACCATAAGCACTACATGTTTTTTCGGCAAAAAGAAGGCACCGACCGTAAGTCCCACAGATCCGCATATTTCCGATGTCTCAGACGACGATTTCAGTGACGGAGAAAATATTTCCCAAACAAATGAGCTTAACGATGAAGAAGAAGTGCCTTCAGGACTTGACATGCTGGTTCCAGAAAGTAATTCTGAATTCGAAGAAAATGACGATGAAACTGAGCCGCCACCACCACAAAGACGAAAAACTGAATCATATTCTTGGATTGAAGCTGACATAGTTTCTGCTAACATACCTTCACCAGACTTTCCTGAACCTGACAACATTGCAGTTCCCATTGAGTATTTTACAAAGTTTTTTTCATTTGATCTAATGGATAAAATAGTCTATCAGACAAATCTTTATAGTACTCAGCAACTTGATTATTGATAAAAATCCGCCAGAAATAACGGATCTATACTCTTGATTATGGGTGTAATAAAACTTCCTGCCATAGAAGATTTTTGGGCAGCTAGTACAAGAGTAGATCACGTGGCCAATATAATGCCTCTGAAGAGGTTTCTTGGTGGCCATGGTAACAATGTAACATCATTATGTTGAAAGAAGTCTATTGTGACTCTTGCAACATGTGGTCGGGTATTATCATGTTGGAAAGTTGGATCTGCCAGGGTGTCAAGATAGGGTAAAAGATGGGGTTCTAGAACTTCGTGGATATAACGCTGCGTGGTCATGTTACCTCTGATGAAGATTAAAGGTGACCTGGAACCATAAGCTATAGCACCCCAAACCATAACTCCAACAGTATGATAAACATGTCTTTCAACAAAAAACTGTGGATTCCTCCTTTCACCACGTCGCCTTCTAACCCTAGCACGACCATCGTGCATGCCTAAACAAAATCGAGACTCATCACTAAAGACAATACTGTTCCATTCCTGATCCCAGAGTGACCGTTGTCTGCACCACTCAAGGCGAAACTTCTCATTCGTCGGTAAACACTTCGCATGCCAATAGGTCTTCCGTGTTCTGCAAACCATTCATTTGCAATGGACCTGGTAGTGGAGAAACGGTCCCTTAAGGCCAATAATCTTAGGCGGCGATCTTCACGGTCTGTTGTTATACGGCGGCGTCCAGTGCCCCTTGCTCTTTGCGTACGGCCTTCTCGAAGCCATGCCTGACAACACCTAACCACAGTGTCTACACTTCTTTGCACTCTAACTGCAATTGCCCGAAAAGAAAGTCCAGCTTCCCGAAGTCCCACTATACGGCCCCTATCAAACTCACTAAGTTGACGAAATCGTACAGGTCTCCGTACTCTAGGCATCGTAACCGATCGTAAAGGATGTCAAGAACCAAAATCCGCCAACGTTGATTCTTTACTGCGGCTGAAATATTCATTTTTAGAGCGTTAGTGAATTAAAAAAAAGCAGTATAAAAACCGGAATGTCCAACTGATAAGGCTGAAAATTTTTTCACTTGTTATTTACAGTAAGATAAATACATTCACCAACTTTTATTAAAATAAAACCAATTAAACTGGGTGTTCGGATTTATATGTCACTTAGTATATTTTTCGACCGTGAATACGAGAGCTAAAGGTGACTTGGTGCTCTGGTGTAGGAATTCTGCGGCCCACTGCCCGATTTTGTGATTCAGTTTCACACGCAGAGTTGCGGGATATTAGGGTGGTGGGGTTTTTATTAGAAATCGTCCCCTCGTGGTGTTTTTTCGGAGCCTTTTTTCTCACCCTCCTAGAGACTTGACCCTGGACATAACTACACTCAACCATCGAGCTGAGGGGGACCGTCTGCGAATTTGATTGGGACTCACGCCCCATTTTTGTGAAACCTCATTGATCACGGGTTCTATACTAAGTGACATATAAATCCGAACACCCAGTTTAAATAACAAGTGAAGAAATTTTCAGCCTTATCAGTTGGACATTCCGGTTTTTATACTGCTTTTTTTTAATTCACTAATGCTCTAAAAATGAATATTTCAGCCGCAGTAAAGAATCAACGTTGGCGGATTTTGGTTCTTGACATCCTTTACGATCGGTTACGATGCCTAGAGTACGGAGACCTGTACGATTTAGTCAACTTAGCGAGTTTGATAGGGGCCGTATAGTGGGTCTTCGGGAAGCTGTACTTTCTTTTCGGGCAATTGCAGTTAGAGTGCAAAGAAGTGTAGACACTGTGGTTAGGTGTTGTCAGGCATGGCTTCGAGAAGGCCGTACGCAAAGAGCAAGGGGCACTGGACGTCGCCGTAGAACAACAGACCGTGAAGATCGCCGCCTAAGATTATTGGCCTTACGGGACCGTTTCTCCACTACCAGGTCCATTGCAAATGAATGGTTTGCAGAACACGGAAGACCTATTGGCATGCGAAGTGTTTACCGACGAATGAGAAGTTTTGGCTTGTTTTCATACCGGCCACACTGGGTCCTCCCTTTAACTCGAGAACACCGACGTAATCGCCTTGAGTGGTGCAGATAACGGTCACTCTGGTATCAGGAATGGAACAGTATTGTCTTTAGTGACGAGTCTCGATTTTGTTTAGGCATGCACGATGGTCGTGCCAGGGTTAGAAGGCGACGTGGTGAAAGGAGGAATCCACAGTTTTTTGTTGAAAGACATGTTCATCACACTGTTGGAGTTATGGTTTGGGGTGCTATAGCTTATGGTTCCAGGTCACCTTTAATCTTCATCAGAGGTTACATGAGCGCGCATCGTTATATCCACGAAGTTCTAGAACCCCATCTTTTACCCTATCTTGACGCTCTGGCAGATCCAACTTTCCAACAAGATAAAGCCCGACCACATGTTGCAAGAGTCACAATAGACTTCTTTCAACATAATGATGTCATATTGTTACCATGGCCACCAAGATCTCGAGACTTATCCCCAATTGAGCACGTGTGGGATATGATGGGTAGGAGATTGCTCAATTTGCAACGTCCTCCTCAGACTCTAGAAGCACTTCGAGAGGAGTTGGTGGTTGCCTATAATGAGATACCACAGGAGGACATTGACCACCTGATCAGAAGCATGCCTAGGAGCGTTGGAGAATGCGTAGCACATCAGGGTGTATCCACACATTATTAAAGGTCAAAGGGCTTTAAAGCAGTGCAATCATTTTGAAATTTTTATCATTTACTTATTATGCTTCATTAAGTACTTATACAAAATTTTATTAAACTAAAACCATTTAAACTGGGTGTTCGGATTTATATGTCACTTAGTATATTTTCCAGTTCTACTTCCGGGTTCTACCTGCAGGTTATATAAAATATTCACAATTAGCTTAGCAGCAATCAGCTGTATTTAAATTCTTAAAAACATCAGTTGTCCAATTTCACAACATCCAGAAGAAACCTATGGCATTAAATATCACTTTTAATGGCTCAAAAATCTCCCTTATCACGCAAGTTAAATTCTTGGGCTTGTATCTAGATACAGGTTTGAATTTCAAAAACCACTGTGTATATGTATACGTATATTTTAAATCAAAGAAAAAGGACTATCATATTCACTGAAAATATACAGGGTGGTCCGTTTAAAAAATACAACGTTATAGGGTCTAATATGAAGTTCTTCAATGTTGAAACAAAGGTATTACTATACCAGCGATAAAAGCTTTTAGTTTGCCGTCGGAGATAAAATTCAAAAACGTAAAAATAAAAATTGCCAAGCCATACATATTTTGTACCTGAGAATTGACAGTATCCATCCTCTCTATCACTCCAGGCATACAGACGCTTAAATTGAGCAAATCCGAGAAGTTATTTTCATCTTCTTGACTCTCAGAGTCTTCCTTGGATATCTTTCTTCGTTGCTCTTGAAGCGTTCTTTTCGTCCTATGTGATGTTACTGGTATATGCACTGATGTGTTACTATCTGTGACAAAATATTAATAAGGTTAGGTTACCAGACAAAACTATGCATGCCAAATATATTTTCGTAGTAATTAGCTAGTAGATTACATAATTATGGTCACTGTTTCTGAATGACGCGATAATATTCCAGGTTTTATGATCCCTAAGATAATTTCGCGGAAAGAGGTTTCATTTCTTCCCACCATGGACTTACCGAAAACCACTGATTAAAAGAAAAAACGCCGAGACGCGACAAAAGGGCGCAACTTTTTAACCAAAAAGTACCTCACCCTCTTTCACCCTGGGCCCACCAGGGTCATTCCCTTAAAAATTTTAAATAATAATAATAATATTTATTCACTCAATGTACAAAGATAACAAACAATATGAGTAAATAAATATAAAATCAAAACAGGCCCAATAGAAGGCATCGCCTGTACATGGACCAATAATTTAAGTTGAAACTGTAGAATGCAAATGACAAAAAAGGACAAAAAATAGCTACAGTAGATTATGTATTTAGTTGATTTTCGTATTTATGAGTTTATGAATGTCAGTCCTAGATATAGAATGTAGCCACTTTTTTAAATTTCTTTTGAAACAATTTCCGAAACGTAAATCTTTTAAGTCTTTAGGTATAATTTCATAAAATTTAGGCGCTAAATAGAGATATGATCGCTGCATTATAGATTTATGCGGTTGAGGAACTACTGTGCCACGAATTTTGTACCTGGTATAATGGTTATGTTTAATTTTTTGGTCGGTGTTTACAAATTTATGGTAGTGAGTGATACTGTGTAAGAAATAAAACTGTCTTATATCATACATTCGAACATCTGCGTATAATTTTTCAGTGGGATAAAGTTTCGGTTTTTTAAATATCATTTTTAGAATACTTTTTTGAAAAACATCTAAATTATAGATATGTGAGGAACATGCAGCTCCCCATGCTAATATACCATATGTGAGATGAGGCTCAATCAGTGCATGGTATAATGTTCGAAGATATTTTTCTGTCAATATATTCCCAAGGTATTTAATTTTGTAGGATACAAATCTAACTTTCTTTAAAATATACTTGACATGGATGTCCCATCGTAAGTGAGGATCCAAGACCACTCCAAGGTATTTTATGTTGGGCACTCTATTAATTTGCATTTTTTGATCATTAATATTGAAGGAGAAATTTGTGTAATTTGGCAGATGTCTAGCATAAGATCCAAATGGTAAAAAATGTGTTTTAGAGTAGTTAATGCTTAATTTTCTACTGTTAAACCACCGAATAATTTTGATAAAATCATTTTCAATTACATTTTTCAGATCAGACCAGTCAGTGCCTTCATATAACATTGCAGTATCATCTGCAAAACTAGTTATTTTGCCAACACAATTAATTTGGAAAATATCATTTAAATATATATTGAATAACAGCGCGGACCTAAGACAGTTCCTTGTGGGACACCACACTTAATATACATTTCTTTACTAAATGATCCTGATATCTGCACAGATTGTGGGCGATTTGACAAATAACTTTCGATCAGTGAGTACGCGTTTCCTCTGAAACCAATTCTCTCCAATGCTTCTAATAATAATTTGTGATTAACTGTCTCGAAAGCTTTCTTTAAATCAACAAAAATGCAGATTGAAGGGATTCTGTTATCAATATTTTGATGTATTTGATTTACAATTTTAGTTATTGCGTCCGATGTAGCCTTCCCTTCTGTAAATCCATATTGATTTTCATTTAAAATTTTGAATTTTGTGAGGTATCGAATCATTCTAGTAGATAAAACTTTTTCAAAAACCTTTGCTACACTGGATATTATTGATATTGGTCTATAGTTGTTAACATCTGTTTTTGTTCCTGATTTATGTATCGGTATTATATTACCTTTTTTTAAAATTGAGGGATATATGCCAGATTCAAAGCATTTGTTGATTAGGTAAGTGAGTGGTTCTGTTATGTCCTCGGCTATAATTTTCAAATGCTCGCTTTTAATACCATCGAACCCAGGACTTTTCCGATTTTTTAAGGACATAACAGTGGTGTATACTTCACATTGCTCGACTTTATCCAAAATAAATGAGTTCAAAGTTCTTTTTGGAGGCTGAGTATTTTGTACATTTGCTTGTATATTACTTGCTAAATTTTCGCCTATGTCAGTAAAGAATTCATCGCATATCTGTTGAGTATTTTTTAATACTGTACCCGATGTTGTATTTAGCTCAGTGACACACTCTTTAACTTTTGTTTTTCCAGTAATCTCATCAATAGTTGTCCAAAGCCGCTTAGGACCATTTAAGTTATTATTCAATTTATTTAGGTAATGTTTTCGTTTGGTTTGTCTTACAAGCTCTATAAATTTATTTTTATATTGGTTGTAGCAGTCGGTATTCTCTGTAGTTGGCGTTAGTTTCATTACATTATATAGTCTTTCTTTTTCTATTGCCGATGTTATTAATCCTTTGGTAATCCAGGCATTTCTGCTTTTCTCTTTGTGACTAATTATCACTCTATTGGTACTAATATCTATTAGTTTTTTTATTTTCTCTATGAACAGTCCCGTTGCTTTGTCTATATTATTTATAGAGTATAATTGTTCCCAGGATTCTTGTTTGACATTTGATATTAGTTTTGAATTGTCGACAAAAAATTTATAATTTTCCTGGTTGTTACTAACGGTAGGGATGTTAGAATGTTTTTCATTTGAAGATATCAGTAAAATAGTGGAGAAGTGGTCAGTAGTATCGCTTTCTATGATTATTGGTAAACAAGTAATTTTGTTGGATAGGTCTTTCACAAAGCAGTGATCTATACATGTGCCACTGATGGACATTGTAGGTAGGTTTATATAGGACAGAAATCCGTTACTTGATAGGATATTCAAGTATTCATTTGAGATGGGATCATCGTCCAAAATATTTATATTGACATCTCCCAAGAAAATATGTTGCTTTAAATGAACTTTATTTTGATTTTGAAAAAAAAATTCGATATTCTTTAAAAACTCGTGGGGTTCTGAACATGGCGGACGATAAATTGCAGATACCTCAATTTTGTTATGGTTAATTTGGATCATTATGTTTAAAATTATGATTCCATCGGTGAAAGTGAATGTATCATGATTATATGGCAGTTTATTTCTTACAAAAACTATCACCCCATCGTTTTGGTTATAAGTGCCAAAGTTATACAGCGTGGGGTATCGAATAATAGCTTGTTTGAAAGGTATTTTGATGTCATTTATTTTGACGTTTGATTTTTTAAAATCACTCGATTTGTAATCGAGAAAATTAGAAAAATCATTATTTATCTTAATTTGTTCAGTTGGAAAACAAAAACGTACCAAAATATCACTTTGTATTTCAATAAATAAAAAGTGATATTTTCTAGATTTCCAATAAATCCGTGGTGGTAAGTTATCAAATAAACACCCTGTATGATTATACGGGGTATCCAATATAAATACCGCAGTAAGCCATCAAATTATTACAAGTTTCTCAACGGCATGTAAATATGCCCCAAAGAACGCAGCTTTTTCCTAACTCAACCTAAGATGTATCTCCTACAAGTATTGAAATCCCCATGCAAATTATCCTTATTTTGGAAAATCTGTGTGTCTGCAATGGCTTAAGTATTTGACCGCTCGCTGTTGACTTTTAAGAAAAATTCGTCTTTATGTTCATCTTCGAAAGTGTTTATTTTTAATTTCTTCTTCATATCTTTATGTGCTAGATATGCTCTTAATTTTTTATTGCAACAATCTGTAAACACCCTCAATATTTTTAATAATTTCTTTATGGAAAGGTAATGCTGGTACCTTGTGACGTTGTTGTTACTAATTTTTGCGGCTGTGTATTAGGCTGCGCCGTTCCAAAACAAGGATTGTTAGTTATCGATACGACAGGATTGTGGGGGCGTGGCGTAACAGGGGTAGAACGAACGCCTGGGAGCGGTGCTAGTACGATATTTCCACTCTGGCTACTGCAAAGAGGGGTGTGGGCACTGGAACTTGTATGTAGGACCTGAAAATCGATTATTTTTATTAGATTACGATAAAACTTTACTGAAGATGAAGAAGATATTAATGACTCTATATACAGTACAATTGTTATTGTAAGGCATCAGTTTCAACCAAAGAATACAGAGGTATGTACCACTATATGACTTGTGATTGCAGTGGTCCCCAACCCGTCGATCACGTGCTTTAACACGTTAACTGTACAAGCATATTCTCGGGATTCCAGCAACACGTCCATTATGCCAGAAACATATTTTCTTAATATATCATTATAACATGATTTTAACTATGTTTTATAGACAAAATTTCATACCTCTCTCCCCTCCATCTTCCATGATCACATATGACTCATGAACGTATAAGTTGGAATAATATACAGGGTGGCACATCGAAAACGAAATAGACGCATTTACTGGCAGCTCAGTTTTTTTTGGAAAAACGCTCAGACCCGTCGGTTTTGTTTTCGAGTGGGACACAAGTTTGGCAAAAAATCACGTTAACACGTGCAGCCCCCTGGGCGGGGGTGACACCAACCCTAAAATCTTGAATGGAAAGGGGGGTCGAGTGATACCTTATTTTAAAGGTCTTTCAATTCCCTTTATAATGATATAAAATTAATGTATACTTTATTTGAAGTCACTTGAAATAGCATAAAAACCTTTGGTCGGCGCGTCCTTTGTAATTTCATGACGTATCACAGGCGTGCGGTCATTTATTTAGAACGATAATAATAATGTTTTTATATCACAATAAATGGATTTTACTATCTTCTTATTTTTTTGATTTGGGATAAAAAATACCTATATTGGGAGTTTAATTTATGTTGACTGAAAGTTAAGAAATGGAAAAATTACAGAATTCCAACGTTTGACATAGGCAAATATTTACATAGCAGGTAGGTATATAAAAAGGTATATAAAGACTTACATTATAGGTATTTATATATCATCCTCGCCTTCGGAGCTGTCGCTAGAGTCATCTTGTAGAGGAATTACAACGGGATTTACAGGAGGCAAAACACAATATTCATTTTCTTTTTCAATAATATGCCTAGAACACTGCTTCCATAGGTCTGTGGCAGCAATATGAGATACTGCATCTCTTATTGTGGCCAATTGCGATTCACTTAATTGAGGGGTACTTCATGGCCATTTTGCTGAAGCAGATTGTCAACAACATACTCTTTTTCAAATTTTTGTCTTTTAATAAGATCCAATAATGTGGCTTTGGTTGATTTTTGTGGTATTTCCATTCCCTTATCCTTCATAAAATCAATAATGTCTTGTTTTTTTGTGCCTGTATTCGGAATTTTGTTTTTCTGTCGGGAATGGTATGGCGCATTGTCCATAATAATCACTGAATTTGGGGAAATGTTTGGTATTAACTGCTGCTCTATCCACTTTTCAAATAAGTCGGAGGTCATGTCCTCATGATAGTCGGCACATGATTCTTTGATATTTTTGGCAGATAACAGCAAGGCATTAGGTATAAATCCATTTTCACTGCCAGCATGGAGAATAATGATTCGTTTTCCACGGTTACATGGTGCATTTAAAATGCACTTGTTGCTGTCGTCAACCCCGCCGAACTGCACAACATCATGGGTATCATACCACGTTTCATCCAGGTAAATCAGATTTCTTTTCTGCTCTCTATAGATTTTAACTTTGTGCAAAAATTCTTGGCGCAATTCAACGATTCGAGACGACTCCACAATCACCATTCTTTTATCTAATTTTTTCTATTGAAAACCACACAGTTTTACAATACAGTGCAGTGAGTCTAAGCATTTGTAATTATAAAAATCTTCAGGATAATCTTTTAATTTATCCCGTATCATTTCTAACGTGGGCACCAAATTTTCTTTATAAAATCCGTATATTATACGACGAATATCTTCCTGAAAACCCACGTCTATTCTTTTTAATTTTTGCCCTATGCGCTTTCTGTGGAAGGAATGGTTGACTACATCTCCCCAGGATACAAATTCTGTTTAAAATTTGATTTTGCGAGGAATCTGGATTTTCGTTTTTCAGACAATCATACATATTTAGGATTACACTTTGGGTCTGTTCCTCTAAATCTTTATGAAAGAATTCTGCCTGCACAGGTTCATCAACCATCTCCTCGTGGCTTGGAGCATTTTCCCAAGGTCTCCTAAGAGCCATATTTAGGACACACAAGAACAATCAACACAACAATTAAATCAACAAGTAAACTGAGTATTCAAAAGTCAAAAACACACAAACTTATAAAATCTATGAAAAAACACGGACAGACTAAAGAAAACACGTTTATTCACCGCTACACGCCACTGGCTAAACTGTTTCAATTTTCAGTAGCCACCTGCACTTGATCGGAGCTCTGAAATACACGCTTTCTCATTGGCTATGTCCACGCATAGGCGTGCTTTACTCCACGTGGACCGGTGAAACTGTCTTTGATCTTATACGGGGGATATTTGCTGCGAAATTTGGCGATTTTTGCAGCAACAGAGCGTGTTAAATATAGATATATAAAGCGCACCCGGTATTTCACAGTGTTTCAAGTGACTTCAGATAAAGTATACTTCAGTTCAGTAGTTTTGAAGATGTGCTGATATCTGCATTGATTTCCACGATATTTCAAATTTGCTCCTCCTGCTCTACAGTAACCTGTCTTTCACGAGTGCGAATATTCGTGGGCTGAACACTTCCTGTATCTCGAAGTCTTTGGTACCCTTGCACAAATGTCCTTCTGTCTGGGTGTACCCGTTGGCGAAATCTGTTGCGATAAATTTGAGTTGCAAGATTTGAATTCTGACGAGCTTCACCGTAAACTAACAACATGTCGGCGAACTCTTGATTCGAGAACATTGTAAATAAACACGACGACGTACGCGAACAATAACTAACCACTGTTACTGTTTGCGATCGATTGCCGGTTCGATAAGCGTGATGAAAGATTACTTACTGACTACAAATTTTGGCTTAACTTAGAAAAACTTATTGTCATTTATTTGTTAATTACCCAGTTTAAAAACGTTTTAGATTAGATTATAAAAATTAGTAAGATTGTGGTGATATAAGGCACTTAAACTTGTAAACTATAAAGCTATTTAGGCAAAAATCTATTGACTTTTGGACCATGGGTCATATGAACTTTTTGACTTGTTTTGACCCCCCCATCCCCTATTACCCATTTGAATAATGACTACCATAACGTTTACACCCTGTATATGTACAGCCTCCATATATCTCTTTTCCATGTTCATAATTTCGTAAACCCACCTGTTGATATTCCTGTTGAGAGTTCGAAGAGACGGATCGAGACATAGTTCTCTGGTCCGGACTAGGAGTAGGCTGTTGCGCTGTTTGACTTGGCGACCGGTTGTCAGTCTGTTGAGATTCATTTTGAGACTGTGGCCCACAGTCTGTTGTTATTTCTTCTAAACTACCCATGTGCGAATATGGAGGCGGTATCATCGAATTCGCCTGAAAATATTAATAATAACAATAATAATAATAATAATGATAATAATGATAATAATAATCCGGCTATGTTTATACAAAGTATAAAAAGGCGAAGTGTCTCTAAAAAGCGTTTTTCAACTTAGCCCAAAATTACATAGAAGATAATATCACTGTTCTTCTGCTTCTACAATACAGGGTGTCCGCAAAGTTGGTGTTTTGCTTTTCAGAAACAACTACCCTTGAAATAACAAAGGTAATGTGTAGTGAAACGAGGGCGACCAAGTAAAAAAAATAAAGGAAAAAGTACCCACTCTTCATTTGACGAGAAGGGCTAAGTACGTCTCTGCCCGAAATCATACCGCTCCAACAGAAAATGAAATCAGCTGATGCGCTACCGAGCAGACGCAGAAACCACATTGATTGTCTTACACTTAATGGCACATCTTCTAACAAGGAAGGCAAAATGTTGCGTAAAAAGTCTAGGTATTGCATTCCGTCCATTGGATTGGGAGAATAAATGGTCCAATAAGCATACCGTTCACCATGCCAGCCCAAACATTCACCGAAAATGTTTGTTAAAAATGTGCCCGACGGACAGCGTGCGGATTTTCTACTGACCAAACATGAGTGTTGCGAAAGTTATTCACGCCATTACGCGTGAACGTAGATTCGTCTGTCACCAATATGCACTTCAAAAAGTCCGGATTATTGTCATGTTGATGCAACAACCACTCACAAAACCGCACTCTTGCTGGAAAATCGTCAGGTTGAAGGGCTTGTACACGTTGGACGTGAAACGGATACAGCCCCTCTTCACGCAGCGTTTGCCACACTTTATTTTTTGATACTTGCACTTCTCTAGCCACGTCTCTAGTGCTTGTTGAGGGATTCTCGTCTACGCGATTACCTCTACACGCGTGACCGTAACCGTCGGTTGAAGGTTTCATACTAACCTGACACACTGACCCCGGGTTGAGCTAGTGACCTTGTACCAGTGGGTGATGTCGCGGCTACAGGACGGTATTCAGATATTTTTGATGTTGCAGAGGCCTTTATCTCGGTTCCCTTAAGACATTGGTTTATATGGTACTAAGAAAAATTGCTTATGTTTTCAAGATCTACACGTCGTGTAAAGGAAAACCCCAACTTTGCGGACACCCTGTATTGCTTCTGGTCCTTGCAACTGGTCATCCATGGCGCTGTTTTCCCCCAACACAGTGCCGGCGCTAAACCATATGCCTGCCCCATGTCAAGTAGAACAATAAGAAAATCAAATCGAGCCGAACGTTAACGTTTCATGTAAAATTATATTCAAGTCAAGTAACTTATGGAAATAATATCAAGCCACTTGAAATGATGAATCCCTATACTTTTAAATCTGGTCAAGATTAATAAAAGTGCTGACAAGTACGAGGGTGGTCCCAGAAGTACCCGGCCTTACCTAGAGATGTCGATAGTTGTTTTAAAAATATCGTTGTGTTAGAAAGTATGCAACCTATAAACCATATGTGTCAAGTTTGAAGACGCCACGTTGTTTAATATTTGTTTGACAGCCATGAACGTTTTCAGTGAATTTGTGAAAAAGGAGAAAATTGGTCATCGTTCTGCGGTACAATACTTTTATTTCAAAGGCATCAGCCCAACCAATATAAAAGCTGAACTGGATTCTACTCTGGGTGAGTCTTCTCCTTCGTTTACAATAGTAAAATATTGGGTAGCAGAGTTTAAACGACGCCGTATGAGGTACCAAGACGAGCACCGTAGTGGTCGTCCAAATGAGGTGACGACTCCAGAAATTGTGAAGAAAATTGACCAACCGGTACTGAATGATCGTCGACTGAAAGTGCGCGAGCTAGCAGACGCAGTAGGAATTTCAAAAAATGCGGTTCATCCGAAAATTTGGACATGAGAAAGCTGTGTGCAAGATGGGTGCCGCGATTGCTCACAATCGAGCAAAAACAGTGTCGTGAAGATGTTTCAATTGAGTGTTTAGCGAAGTTTCACAGCAACAAAGCAGAATATTTGCATCATTTCATAACTATGGATGGAACATGGGTCCAACACTTCACACCCGACACAAAAGAACAATCAAAACAATGGACTCAAAAGGGACAACCGGCTTCAAAGAAGGCGAAGATCGTTTCATCTGCAGGCAAGGTTATGGCGTCGGTTTTTTGGGATGCGCGTGGGATCTTGAAAAAGGTAAAACTAGCAACGCCGAGTATTATGCGAACTTATTGCAATGTTCGAGCGATGAGATCAAGCAAAAACGGCCCCATTTGGTTAAGAAGAAAGTGTTGTTTCATCAAGACAATGCACCAGCTCACAAATCCGTTATTGCAATGGCCAAAATAAACGAATTAAAGTTTGAATTGCTACCTCATGCACCCTATTCACCAGATTTAGCCCCCTTGGATTATTTTCTGTTTCCAAACTTGGAAAAATGGCTCAGTGGTCAAAGATTTTCCAACGATGAAGAAGTGATGTCGGCAGTTAATGGCTATCTTGAGGAGCAAGACAGTTCTTATTATAAAAAGGGTATCAAACTTATTGAACATCGCTGGGAAAAGTGTATAGAGCTGTTGAAAAATAAATACATTTTTTTACAAAAATTTTATTTTCTTCGTTGGGTCGGGTACTTCTGGGACCACCCTCGTATAAGGCTGTAATCGCACTGTTTTCACCTTTCCGAAGTATTGTACCTGAGCCGTTACAATGCTTGACAAATTCCTCCCTCAGCGATATCGCCTCAATATATAAAAGTGCTTGATGGTATACTTCTTTACCAAGGTATGTAATTTACTATTAAAGCTTCATTATACTTACTTCGTTTGCCGCATTACATAGAAAGCTGGAACTTAGCGAATCTATTGTGCTTGTTGCTGATAACGTACCTAGAAGAAGTCCAAATCAGTTACCATACTAAGAGATATTTTTGATTTGTTACTCACCAACAGGTCTAACAATAAAATTTCTAAAATACTGAACCATTAGGTAGCCAGTGGAACCGTTACTGTTCTTTATAACGGGTTCCGCGTTGTAACTTATCACAAGTGGATACAGATCGGGTTTTGCAGCCACCTGGAAATAGACATTTTCAATCATTAAATTTAAAGACGTAATAGTTAATTAATTTTTTTATTTGGCCTCATTAAATGTTTAATTGATTTTATACTAAGTGACATATAAATCCGAACACCCAGTTTAAATGGTTTTATTTTAATAAAAGTTGGTGAATGTATTTATCTTACTTGAAATAACAAGTGAAAAATTTTTTAGCCTTATCAGTTGGACATTCCGGTTTTTATACTGCTTTTTTTAATTCACTAACGCTCTAAAAATGAATATTTCAGCCGCAGTAAAGAATCAACGTTGGCGAATTTTGGTTCTTGACATCCTTTATGATCGGTTACGATGCCTAGAGTACGGAGACCTGTACGATTTCGTCAACTTCGGGAAGCTGGACCTTCTTTTCGGGCAATTGCAGTTAGAGTGCAAAGAAGTGTAGACACTGTGGTTAGGTGTTGTCAGGCATGGCTTCGAGAAGGCCGTACGCAAAGAGCAAGGGGCACTGGACGCCGCCGTAGAACAACAGACCGTGAAGATCGCCGCCTAAGATTATTGGCCTTAAGGGACCGTTTCTCCACTACCAGGTCCACTGCAAATGAATGGTTTGCAGAACTCAGAAGACCTATTGGCATGCGAAGTGTTTACCGACGAATGAGAAGTTTTGGCTTGTTTTCATACCGGCCACACTGGGTCCTCCCTTTAACTAGAGAACACCGACGTAATCGCCTTGAGTGGTGCAGACAACGGTCACTCTGGGATCAGGAATGGAACAGTATTGTCTTTAGTGACGAGTCACGATTTTGTTTAGGCATGCACGATGGTCGTGCCAGGGTTAGAAGGCGACGTGGTGAAAGGAGGAATCCAGTTTTTTGTTGAAAGACATGTTCATCACACTGTTGGAGTTATGGTTTGGGGTGCTATAGCTTATGGTTCCAGGTCACCTTTAATCTTCATCAGAGGTAACATGAACGCGCAGCGTTATATCCACGAAGTTCTAGAACCCCATCTTTTACCCTATCTTGACACCCTGGCAGATCCAACTTTCCAACAAGATAATGCCCGACCACAAGTTGCAAGAGTCACAATAGATTTCTTCCAACATAATGATGTCACATTGTTACCATAGCCACCAAGATCTCCCGACTTATCCCCAATTGAGCACGTGTGGGATATGATGGGTAGGAGATTGCTCAATTTGCAACGTCCTCCTCAGACTCTAGAAGCACTTCGAGAGGAGTTGGTGGTTGCCTGGAATGAGATACCACAGGAGGACATTGACCACCTGATCAGAAGCATGCCTAGGCGCGTTGGAGAATGCGTGGCACATCAGGGTGCATCCACACATTATTAAAGGTCAAAGGGCTTTAAAGCAGTGCAATCATTTTGGAATTTTTATCATTTACTTATTATGCTTCATTAAGTGCTTATACAAAATTTTATTAAAATAAAACCATTTAAACTGGGTGTTCGGATTTATATGTCACTTAGTATATTAAACATTTTTCTCGGTGTACCTCTGAGTACGGCGGAGGTGCCTGGTGAAAACTACCGCATCTACTGTACTGCGGAGGAGCATAACATGATCCATTTGAATCAGGCTCGGAAATCCTTTCATCTCTGCTAGATTCGCGGCAGCATAGTGAACCTTGGTGGTGTTTTCGCCATAGAGAGCATGCGCACAGGATTCCTGCTACCGTTGCTGTTACTGCCAACCAAAAATACCTGGAAAAGTCAATAAATCGTTAATCAAAATGTTTTTGGCTCCATATTTTCAATGAATGAGACGTGGCAAAATATTCCCTATATACAGGGTGGCCCATTCATTTGTGGACGGAATATTACTCATAAACAAATAATATAATATTTATTCACTCAATGTACCAATATAACAAACAATATGAGTAAATAAATATAAAATCAAAACAGGCCCAATAGAAGGCATCGCCTGTACATGGACCAATAATTTAAGCTGAAACTGTAGAATACAAATGACAAAAAAGGACAAAAATTAGCTACAGTAGATTATGTATTTAGTTGATGTTCGTATTTATGAGTTTATGAATTTCAGTCCTAGACATAGAATGTAGCCACTTTTTTAAATTTCTTTTGAAACAATTTCCGAAACGTAAATCTTTTAAAAGTTTTTGGGTATAATTTCATAAAATTTAGGCGCTAAATAGAGATATGATCGCTGCATTATAGATTTATGCGGTTGAGGAACTACTGTGCCACGAATTTTGTACCTGGTTTAATGATTATGTTTAATTTTTTGGTCGGTGTTTACAAATTTATGGTAGTGAGTGATACTGTGTAAGAAATAAAGCTGTCTTATATCATAACGTACATTCGAACATCTGCGTATAATTTTTCAGTGGGATAAAGTTTCGTTTTTTTAAATATCATTTTTAGAATACTTTTTTGAAAAACATCTAAATTATAGATATGTGAGGAACATGCAGCTCCCCATGCTAATATACCATATGTGAGATGAGGCTCAATCAGTGCATGGTATAATGTTCGAAGATATTTTTCTGTCAATATATTCCCAAGGTATTTAATGTTGTATGATACAAATCTAACTTTCTTTAAAATATAATTGACATGGATGTCCCATCGTAAGTGAGGATCCAAGACCACTCCAAGGTATTTTATATATAATTTTGATAAAATCATTTTCAATTACATTTTTCAGATCAGACCAGTCAGTGCCTTCATATAATATTGCAGTATCATCTGCAAAACTAGTTATTTTGCCAACACAATTAATTTGGAAAATATCATTTAAATATATATTGAATAACAGCGGACCTAAGACACCACACTTAATATACATTTCTTTACTAAATGATCCTGATATCTGCACAGATTGTGGGCGATTTGACAAATAATTTTCGATCAGTGAGTACGCGTTTCCTCTGAAACCAATTATCTCCAATGCTTCTAATAATAATTTGTGATTAACTGTGTCGAAAGCTTTCTTTAAATCAACAAAAACGCAGATTGAAGGGATTCTGTCATCAATATTTTGATGTATTTGATTTACAATTTTAGTTATTGCGTCCGATGTAGCTTTCCCTTCTGTAAATCCATATTGATTTTCACTTAAAATTTTGAATTTTGTGAGGTATCGAATCATTCTAGTAGATAAAAGTTTTTCAAAAACCTTTGCTACACTTGATATTATTGATATTGGTCTATAGTTATTAACATCTGTTTTTATTCCTGATTTATGTATCGGTATTATATTACCTTTTTTTTAAAATGGAGGGATATATGCCAGATTCAAAGCATTTGTTGATTAGGTAAGTGAGTGGTTCTGTTATGTCCTCGGCTATAATTTTCAAATGCTCGCTTTTAATACCATCGAACCCAGGACTTTTCCGATTTTTTAAGGACATAACAGTGGTGTATACTTCACATTGCTCGACTTTATCCAAAATAAATGAGTTCAAAGTTCTTTTTGGAGGCTGAGTATTTTGTACATTTGCTTGTATATTACTTGCTAAATTTTCGCCTATGTCAGTAAAGAATTGTACAAATTCATCGCATATCTGTTGAGTATTTTTTAATACTGTTCCCGATGTTGTATTTAACTCAGTGACACACTTTTTAAATTTTGTTTTACCAGTAATCTCATCAATAGTTGTCCAAAGCCGCTTAGGATCATTTAAGTTATTATTCAATTTATTTAGGTAATGTTTTCGTTTGGTTTGCCTTGCAAGCTCTATAAATTTATTTTTATATTGGTTGTAGCAGTCGGTATTCTCTGTAGTTGGCGTTAGTTGCATTACATTATATAGTCTTTCTTTTTCTATTGCCGATGTTATTAATCCTTTGGTAATCCAGGCATTTCTGCTTTTCTCTTTGTGACTAATTATTACTTTATTGGTACTAATATCTATTAGTTTTTTTATTTTCTCTATGAACAGTCCCGTTGCTTTGTCGATATTATTTATAGAGTATAATTGTTCCCAGGATTCTTGTTTGACATTTGGGTTTCATCCTCTTCGCACTTTAACATATTCTGACAAAATTCAACCCGTTGTGCATAACGCTTGGAAGCAATTCTTGTACTTTTTGTTCATGGTAACGATGCATGTTCTCCGAGCGTAGTGTTGTGTACACTGAAGTATGGTATATGTTTCTGCTTCGTGCTTATAGAGGGATCTCTCTCAACTGCTTCTATTATAAAGGGTTGTCCAATAGGGACGCAGGAAAGTAAACGTCAATTTGACATAGACGCCATCTTTGTTTTCTGTCACCGACATGTCATTTTGTTAGTTGAATGTTTACCATTGATCGCTATGGAGTCGTATTCACACGTATCGCGCGCTTCGTGAACATTTCGGTCGCAACAACCGCCCAAACGAAACAACCATCGGTTGTCTGGTACATAAATTCGAGGCAACAGGTTCTGTGGCAAATCTGCCAGGCTCTGGCCGGCCAAGGAGCGTTCGCACACCGGAAAATATTGCTGTTGTGAAGGAGAGTGTGAGAGACGATCCGAAACAATCAACAACGCGTGGATCCCAAGAATTGGGCATCTCGAGGACCAGTTTGCTCCGCATTCTCCACAAGGATTTGAATGTACACGCCTACAAGATCCAATCGACGCAAGAGCTGCGTCGGACCGACCATTTTTCGCACCGAACGTTCTCAGATTGGCTCCTTGAACACCGCCAAATTGATGCCAATTTTTCGTCAAAAATCATGTTCAGCGATGAAGCGCATTTCCCTTTGAATGGGACCATAAACAAGCAAAACTGCCGCATCTGGGCGAACGAAAATCCCCGTGAGTATCAAGAGCAGCCGATGCATCCTCAAAAAGTGACTGTGTTGTTTGCATTGTGGTCAAAAGGCTTCATCAGACCTTACTTTTTCGAAAATGTGGCCGGGGACGCCGTTACCGTCAATTATGAGCGATATCACGTGATGATAGAGGACTATTTTTTGCCGCAACTTGAAGGAATGGATATGGACGATGTTTATTTCCAACAAGACGGTGCAACATGCCACACAACCAACGTCAATATCCATCGATTGCAGTCCTTCTTCGGTGATCGCGTGATTTCGCGCAGAGGAAATGTGCCATGGCCACCAAGACCGTGCGATTTGACTCCATTGGACTTATTTTTATGGGGATATTTGAAAAGCAAAGTCTACGTCAACAAACCAGCCACCCTCCAAGAACTCAAAAACAACATCATTGCCGAGATAAATGCCATAGAACCGACCATGTTGCAAAATGTCATTGAAAATTTCGACCATCGCGTGGACGTCTGTAAATCCAGTCATGGTGAACATTTGAGCGATACTATTTTTCATACATAAATGGTATAAATGAACCTTCAAAATAAAGTGCACTACTTGTCTGCACTAAAGTATGGGATACGTTTCTGCTTCGGACAATGGATCCGGTGCTTATAGAGGGATCTCTTTCAGCTGCTTCTATTATATCTTCTCTTTCTTCTGGGCGTATCCTCGGCGCTCCTAGCTGACGGTGTGTGCCTAGTATGCGGCCCTCCATATACTCGTATGCATTATGGATGCGTAGAAAAACGCGGTAGTCGGGATATACGGCCGGTTGTGGTCCACCTCTTATAACCACATACTCCCGATACATGCGAGCAGCTGCTCGAGCATTACCTGGTTTAGTTGTAATTGCGATTGTAAGTTCACTATCTCGTTTTTGCGAAATTTCACAAAATTGCAAATATTTCCTAAGCTATAAAATTTCGGATCACGCATATAGGAGTTCATACTATAGGTTTTGAAGCCCTCTATCATCTGCCTTCCGTTGATCCACTACTAACTTTACACCCTGTACATAGAGGGTGTCCCGAAAAAAGTGTGCAATATTCTACCAGCGGTTGCTAGAGCTTAAAATAGGAAGAAAAGTGCATATAATCATAGGTCGACAAACGTCCCCTAAGGGCGCTACGGTCTTTCAAAGGGGCTTCCCTGAAGATGGTTTTTCCTTAATATTTCCGAAACGTGTTGAGATAAACACATAAAATTTGGTATTCCAGCCTAGCTTTTTATGCTGGATTTAAAAATATTAACAATTTCAGAGAATTTTTGTTTGGAAGCGTACGTAACAGGGACGGACTCAGGTTATTTTAGCCACAAAAATTTTGTGCGATTCTATTTTTGAAATTGAATTTTAGAATTCGAAAATTTAGGGTCTTCTACATAAAAAAGGTACTCTTATTGAATATCGATAAATTGTACCATTTTTGAATAAAATCATACTAAAAAATTTGTCACATGATAGGAAATGTACTGCGAATTTAAATGAATCGTTGAATAATTAGCTAAAAAGCTAATTTAATAATCAATAAATATTACATAAATAAATATTTCTATTGCAACATAGCTAACATTTAGGCAAAAACAAAAGAAATAAATTTTTTCTACGAACGAAATTGAAATTTGTTTAAAAAAGAAGACGTACAGTTGGATATACTTAAAACTAGCTTTGCAATAAATGTTCAAATAAATTTCCATTTTGTTGGATACAGAGTATCGCTCGACGAACTAATGATTGCGTAGCCCGAAAAGTAGAAAGCCTTTTTCTTCTTATTTCATTTGCAGCCTGATGGATCCTTTGAAGTAAATATTCTTGAGTATTTACTTCAGTCGAGTAAACTAGGTCTTTTAATGACCCCAAAAATAGAAATCCAATGGATTTAGGTCAAGTGAACGTGGCGGTCACGCTATAGGACCTCCTCGGCCTAACCACCTGTCTGGAAAATTGACATTCATCCAATTTCGAACATTGCGTCCAAAATGTGCAGGGGCGGCATCGTTGAAAAAACATATTTTCTTGAAACTGCTGGCGCACATCCAGTGGTATTATATCCATGAGCTCATTCTGAAGAAAGTTCAGATACACCTCTGAATTAAAATAATATTGACTCACATTTTAAATCGATTTAATAAAAATGTTTAATCTATTCATTTTATACTGCTAACAATGTCAGCTTAACGTCACAATAAGTCATAACAAATCAAAACAACTTTTGTTTGCAGTCATGGCTAACTATGTATAATCAACAATTCATTTAAATTCGCAGTACATTTCCTATCATGTGACAAATTTTTTAGTTTGATTTTATTCAAAAATGGCACAATTCATCGATATTCAATAACCTTTTTTATGTAGAAAACCCTAAATTTTCAAATTCTAAAATTCAATTTCATAAGTAGAATCACACAAAAATGTTGGGGCTAAAATAACCTGAGTCCGTCCCTATTACATACGCTTCCAAACAAAACTGTATAAAATTGTTAATATTTTTAAATCTAGCATAAAAAACTAGGCTAGAATACCAAATTTTATGTCTTTATCTCAACACGTTTCGGAAATATTAAGGAAAAACCATCTTCAGGGGAGCCCCTTTAAAAGACCGTAGCGCCCTTAGGGGACGTTTGTCGACCTATGTTTATATAAACTTTTCTTCCTATTTTAAGCTCTACAGTATATTCAGATAAGAGATAGACCGGATGTAAACAAAAGGTTCGGGTGATTTTCACGCTAACGCCGCCGTCTCGACGTAAAACAGGAGCCCTCATTGGTCAATTCGCAATTAAATGCCTATGCCGAGCGGCAGAGCAGTCGTATCAAGGCAGAGTCACATCACGTCACATTCAGGTTCAGACGCGTTACGTATGTCGTGTGCATCATTGCAATTTGATATTTCTTTGGGCGTTTTCGTTTGTTATCTTATTAAGTTGTTGAGTTTGTCGTTGTTATTGTTATACCTTGTTATTGATTGTTAGTCCACCTAGGAAACGCTCTAAAAAAAGACACCTGAGTGCAGAAATGAAAGAGGTCATTTTGAATATATATAAGATCGAGCGCGAGGAAAACGAGGCATCAACCATCAAAGAAATTGTTGTGAAGGTTTCTCACAAAGTTGGGGTGTGTCGCGCATCAGTGTTTAATGTGTTAAGACAATACAAAAAAAATCACACCTTTTCTGAGCCAATGACCAGTAAACATCGCAAAAGTATTGTTAAATCATTGGATGAAGCTGATAAGCATGCGATTAGGAGGAAAGTGCATGAATTCTTCTTTAGTAATGAAATACCTACTATAGATAAAGTACTGCAGGAGGTAAATGGAGATACAACGTTGCCAAATTTCAAACGATCAACTTTCCATGCGTTACTGAAGCATTTAAATTTCGAATGGAAAAAACGGGGTCGTAATAGTTTACTACTGGATAGAGAAGAAATTGTGCTATGGAGGAGGGATTATTTAACAAAAATTGGGAAATATAGAAATCAAAACAGGAAGATTTATTACCTTGATGAAACGTGGGTAAACGCAGGACACACTACAAGTAAAGTATGGGTTGATGATTCTGTAACTTCATCCAGGAGGGCCTTTCTAGATGGACTGTCCACCGGATTAAAAAATCCAGCAGGTAAATACGAGTAATAGGTTCTAAACATTAATTCCAGGGGGCAGATAAAACATATTACAAGTAACAAAACTTTTATAACTTTCGATATAATGCGTAGATGTTTTATTGTCATTTTCATTTGTTAGAACTTTTTTAAGCCATGTTTTTATGTGTTTTCGATATTTCAATAATTTTTTAATATAATCTTAAAATATGTCGAATATTATAAACTTAAAAAATGTTACTAAGTTTTATATTGTGTACCGTTCCTAATATTTCTAATCATTTTAATTCATACTTTAAGCTTTATAAAGTTATAATTTGTTTATATTAATATTTGCGCGTATTTCAGGTTCCTGATTATTCATTTTTTAAAGGTTTATAACTTTAAATTAAATTGTGAAGCGCTGAGTAATCATATGACGTTCAATATTCTTTCTTTCAATACGACTAAATAATCCCAATTATAGCAATCTGATACTCATGTCTCAATGTTTTTTCGCTGAATGTGATGAAAACATTTGAAAAAGGTTCGCTTATTGAAATAAATCTACACCAGTTAGTACTTCGATTTCCAGGTAAAGGGAAAAGGCTCATTATCTGCCATATTGGCAGTGAGGATGGATTTGTTGTTGACGGTCTGTGGTGCTTTGAGTCTAAGAAAACTGGAGATTACCACGAGGAAATGAATGGCGAATCGTTTGAAAAGTGGTTTTCAAAAATTTTACCGAACTTAGAGGAAAACGCAGTAATTGTGTTGGATAATGCGCCTCATCATTCTCGAAGAATGGAGAAGGTCCCAACAACGGCTTCAAGGAAAGTTGATATTCAAAATTTGCTCCGCTCGGAAAATATCAACTTTGAAGAAGCAATGCTGAAAGTACAATTAGTAAGAATTGTCAAGGATCACAAGGCGGAATATCAAAAATTCGCCATTGACGAAATGGCAGCAAGTCAAAATAAAACTGTGCTCCGTTTACCTCCATACCATTGCGAGCTCAATCCCGTTGAGCTCATATGGGCAGAGGTTAAAAATTATATAGCTAAGCACAATACAACTTTTAAATTTTGTGACCTCAAAGGACTTTTCAAATAAGCACTAGAATTAATAACAGCGCAAAAATGGGAAAACTGTATTAAGCACGTGAAAGACAAAGTTGAAAAGAGAATATGGGAACTGGACAATATTTTAGAGGAACAAGTCGAGCCATTCATTATTGACGTTGGTGCTTCAGGCAGTAGCGATGATGAAAGCTCATCAAGCTCATCTTTCCAATAAAAGATGCCATCAAATTCGGTAAGTTATAAGTACGAGTAATTATAAAGCTACTGTATTTTTTAATTAATTATTGACATTTTTGAACCCATTTTAGCAAAACCTATTCAAGAATCTACTTTGTGACAATGTTCAACTATGCACATTTTTTTACGTTTTGAACGTTTTAATTTGGTTACATATTTACCTAGAAATCAAAAAATATACTAATCAATATTCTAAAAGCAATTTTAAGAGATATACGATTATTTTTAATTTAGGCTAATTTAAACGCCATTCTGAGATTATATTCGACTGTATTTCACCAAACATCAGGCGGCATCCGAAGCTGGAAATCGAAGCGAAAATTTTGAAACCCTTATGTATATTTACATCATCATATATTTCTTACCCCACCCCCACATGAGCCTATATCCATCACCAATCGTATACACATCGAATTGTGCTAATTTACTACAAAGTTACGCAAAGCAGCATCTACTATCTAAAATACGTCCCTGCCGAATGTTACAGCGTTCGATGATCACGTGGTCTTGTTTATGTCCGGTCTATCTCTTATCTGAATATACTGTAGAAACCGCTGGTAGAATATTGCACACTTTTTTCGGGACACCATGTATAATAAGTTCAGACGTGGAATTTCTCATCAAAGCTGTGACGTAAAAATAGCGGTTAGTTGGACTTCTAGCATATATGAGAAATAATCTTTGTTCTCCGAAATTGATACTGGAAACGCATTGTCCCATTCTGTAGGTAACTATAACTAAAAAATAAAATCATATTTGCCAATCCATTCAGAATGACTGAATGACGAAATTAGAAGGTTCAAGCCCCCACCTCTCTGCGACAACACGTCGGCAAGCCCGCAATGAATTACGAACCTTGTTAACTTTGTACTCAACATGCCTTCTCCTATTCTGTCTACAGTCCAAGAGGATTCCTAGATATTTTACTAGTTGGGATAGAACTAGTCTAGTCCCAAAGAACCTCCAGAGTTAATGGAACCAACCATAATTGAGCCAACCCGGTGCCTAAAAAAAGCATGTCTGGTGGAGTTGGTTGTAGTACTCGTATAATTAAGTACACCTTCAATGTCTAAACAGGCTGCGAATGCCACTTCCCGCTGATCTAGAATTCATTTAGAAGGAAATACAGTGAATTTAAATAGGTGTTTTCAATGTTACATAACCGCTACTCCAGTTTTCACCCTGTATCACTTTGAAACAATAAAATTATTCAAAGGCCAAAGCCATAGTTTCAGGAGCTTTACTATCAAAAGTACCGTTTTGTGTATGTATGAAGAAGCATGATCATGAAAAGAATAAAGTTTCCTGTAGAAGCAGCAAATTACTGCTCCACCGCAAAAAATCCAACTACTTAATATTGCAAAAAGTAGCAGAAGTGTGTAGTGGTTCAGTGAGGTGCGCGGCAACTCGGCAACAGTGGACGAAATTGTGGTAGATCGAGCGAGTTGGCAGTTGCCCTTCGCCGCCGGGAGAGGCAACAGGTGACGTGGCCATCTTCCGGATTTAAGGATTACCGGGTTCCATGTTTTTTTAGTTAGTGAATTATTTTGTGCCTTACTACCATTAAAGTTGGCTAGCCATATCGCCGTCGTTATTACTGAAACCCACGAAAAAACCCTGTGTAAGCACGGATCCACTTCAAGTGTAATAAAAAAAACTTACCAATGTCCTAAGAAGAGTGGGTTGAACACAGACCCCGATTGAAAAGACGGCGTCGCCGATGAGCCTTTGAAAATTGACGATGAAAAGAGAAAACAGCAGCCCTGTTTGCAGCATTCTTTTGGAGGAGTGCACGACCATTCTCCCCCGTCGCATTTGTTTTCCACCAATTGCTATAAAATAATGATAAACATGTTTAGCAAAAAAACTTTTCAAGTTAACAGCTTGTTCATTGAACGTTTGCTGTCACGCGCAATAAAAATTATAAGTGATCTACTTGTGAAATAGTATCTCTGACTAAACTGGCCATAGAAGGCCACTATAATAAATAAACAGTTATTCTTCCTTCATTTACTGCATAAACGCGGAGAGCATTGCAAACTCATCATCATTATTAAGAGTCAAATTTATGGACCCCGAGAGGCTTGAGGCTTCCTTGGAAACAATAGATCTCTCCTTGTAAACGGTGAATCAATGTCGCTTCCTTGAAGAACGTACAAGGGAGGATTTAAATTTTCATTTCAAAGTAGGCCGTAACAAACTGCTGTCTTGATTCGGGTCTAACGACCGTCGTCGGTTGGAATTTCTTCCTAACGTTTCGCTAGCACGAGTGGCAAGCTTCTTCAGAGGTCCTTCCATTATCCGATGCTGGATGTAGACTGACGATTTCTGTTGCGCAGGTTGTATTTATACCGGAAGGTAGGGGACGTGGCTCTGAGACTTAACCACTTCCCGCGGCGGTGGCGGGAAGCCCAGGTTATAATGCTCACCAAGCCAGGCAAGGACCGGAAGTTGCCCCAGAACTACCGGCCCATCAGCCTGGTTTCCTCGATGGGCAAAGTAGTCGAAAAGGCTATCGCCGTTCGACTAGAGAAACAGGCAGAAGAACTGCAACGTCTCCCCCCAGAGCAATTCGGCTTCAGATCCTCCCACAACACGGAACTCCAAGCGCTACGACTGACAGAAAACATCACCAGCGGCTTCAATCTCCAGGAGGCAACCGGCCTCGTCCTGCTGGACGTGGAACGAGCCTTCGATCGAGTTTGGCACGATGGACTCATCGCCAAAATGGAAGCCGCCGGAATCGATGCAAACATGTGCCAACTGATCCAGAGCTATCTAACACAAAGATGGTTCACGGTGAAGATTGGTACATGCCATTCAACAAGACGACAGCTGGAAGCAGGCGTGCCCCAGGGGTCAGCCTTAGCCCCCCTGCTCTACAACATCTTTACTCACGATGTACCGAAGACAGCTGACATAATGCTGGCCCTATATGCAGACGACACTGCTATAGCCGCCAAGCATCGACGACTCGAGATCATCCGTAGGAGACTATAGGATGAACTGGATCACATCCAGGACTGGTGCGTGAAATGGAAAATCCGCATCAACGTCCAGAAGACGCAGGCAATCTTCATCCAACGAAGAAGGATTGCAAGACCTCCGAAGCATCCATCTTCGACGAAGATATCCAGTGGAGCGACAAAGTCAAATATCTGGGGATCGTATTTGACAAGTCCCTCACCTGGAAAGACCACATAGAAGCTGTCATCACAAAGACCAGAGCAGCCATGGCTCAACTCTACCCATTACTGGGTAGACACAGCCGGATGCCGCTAGCGACCAAGCTACGGCTGATCAAGGCCTTCGCCAGACCTCAGCTCGCTTACGCCTCCGCGATCTGGGGGTACGCTGCCCCCAGCTACCGCAAGCGACTTGCTGCTCTAGAGATGAAGCTACTCCGGATCGCCACCAGTGCACCATCCTACGTAAGAAACTCAACCTTGCGTAGGGACCTGCACTGGGACACCATTCACGAGTACATGAGGAAAAAAGCGGAGAAGACCTTCCAGAAAGCTCAGGACCACCCGAACGAGTAGCTAAGATTCCTCATGGACTACGATCCGGACGAGAGGCCTCGCAACCGCAGAACCAGATACCCTAGACCAAGGTCTCAGTTGGCACCCGCTAACTGAAACCTTGACTAGGAGACTAGGAGAACCCGCGGTTGCTCTCCCCCCCCCACGGCGTGGATGCAGAGGACCAGGAACCACCGGGACCAGGACCCACCGGGACCAGGACCCACCAGGACCAGGACCCGACAGGACCAGGACCCGCCACGACCAGGACCCACCAGGACCAGGACCCTTCAGGACCAGGACCAGGAACAACATATTGGTAAGAGGAGTTGAAACTCTTGATTTTTTCGAAAACAGGAGTTTCAAGAGAACCTAGCAGACCCTCTATCGATGATCGCTTAACGACATCGATAGAATGTGCGAGGTAAAGGGAGCCAACCCGGCGTTCCCAGCGACTGAAACACATGAGGAGACGTTGTAGCAGACCGCAGGTCACGCACAACACATGGCCTACCGAGACGCTGATGAGTCGGGCCACGCGGAGGTTAGGGTTTAGTGGATATTAGGAGGTCTCCTCAAGACAACCTGGAGTCCCACACATGCCGTAGCTCGGGCTATGGTATGGTGCGTATACGCATTCCCCCCTCACCAAAAAAAAAAAAAAAATCGTCAGTCTACATCCAGCATCGGAAATGGAAGGACCTCTGAAGAAGCTTGCCACTCGTGCTAGCGAAACATTAGGAAGAAATTCCAACCGACGACAGCCTTTAGACCCGAATCAAGACAGCCGTTTAAGAACTGGCCGCGAAAGCCTTAACCAATTAGGCTGTAACAGTTCATCGACGTCGATGTCAGAAAGATTTTTCCTTGATGGGCGTAATTGCTCTTGATGATAAAATGGAACGATTTGGATGATTTATGCAAATATCAATAGGCAATGCAAAATAATGCGATTGCTATTTGGAATTACAGCTCAGTCACAGAGAAGTAGAAAACTGAATATAGGCAACCAGTTGTCCCTAACTGCCTTCCTGGTTGCAGATTGTAGGTTACGTCTGTTTGACTCAACAGTATTTCACAAAAAAAATGTGTGACTATGAGAAAAAAGTAGCGAGCGGGTTAAAGATGCCTGAGCAGGCAGCGACAAGCTCATGTTTGTTCTAACGCGGAGTAAATGAGGTTGGAATAGGCTTTAGTAGTTGTTTGGAGCTGTGGATCAATAATGTGTTAATATTTTTCATCCAATTTACTTACAGTAGTCATAAGTACAGAGAGGTTCGTAGAATTGATGCCTGCACAGTAACACAGTACTGTAGCATTGCACTTGATTCGCCTAAAGCGGAGGTCGTCGTTAGCTATGAATATTGGAAGACAGTTTGCTGCAACAAAAAATATAATAAATACCTAAGAGTGACAAGGATATTAATTATCATTCAAACAACTGTAACAAAGGAATTGGAATCGCGCAGCTTGTATCAATATCCTCTCAGGGTTTTTAATTCTACTTTCAAAATGTATAATCTGCCATACACTAAAATTACCAAAGTAAAAGTTATGATGGAGGACAGAAGACAAAACATCATAATGAAATTCTTACTACGCGACCTTATAGAAGAGAAAAGTAGCAATGATAATGAGCAATTCATTTCAATTAAGCAAAGAAAAATGTGAACGGTTTTGCTTTGAATGTCCAAACTATCGAAAAGCTATTCTCTTAATTTAAAGCATTGATTCCCAAAGTGATCTATATCGACCCCTAGGGGTATATGACAACCTGCAAGGGGTCTACGTCAGCGAAAAAAAATTTGGGGGTCCATGAAGTGAATATAGGGGTCCACGATAGTGGATCTCAACACATACACTGATAGTACCTATTTACTTACATCATACTATCTTATAATATCAAAACATATACATTATTTAAAAAGTACCTATGAAGTAAAAAATTTATTATATATGTTTATAAAATTGTGTAAGTTGTAGGATGTTGGTATTCGCTTTGTGGTCGCAATACATTTTGAACTTGTAAAAACCTGAGAGTCGCAGTCTCAGAGCTTCGCTACCTTGCACTGACTTGTTCAATTTGTCACTCTATAAATACGAATGTGGGACAAATAAGTTTATTCGTTTCCTGAATCTTGAAAAGGAAAGTGCTAAGAAAATATTTTAAAAAATATAAACAGATAGTATATCACACAAATTATAGTGAGTCAGTGTTATTTTGTTTGAGAGTCCTGGAGAAAAGTAAGTACATTATTTTTTATTAAATTTTAGTTTTGTACTCGTAGTTAGCAAACATAGGTAAATTACGCCAATCATGACTTTAGTTATTAGTAGTTAAATATTCAATCATGCAAGATTACACGAGTACTCCTCAATAGTTTCTTTTTGAAAGTTTTAGCAATCGGTAATATAATTACAGTGCAATCTCCGTAATTCGAGCTAATTGTTGCAAGATGTTCGAATTATGGAATGTTTTCGGAAAAATCAAAAAATATTTTTAATATACAGCTGCTGGATTTTCTGTCTTATTTAAATAATTTAATTTTGCCGGACAAACAATCGCCTATGTGCCTTTTATGCAACAAAGTTTTGGGCAATGATGCTATGAAACCATCTAAACTGCAAGATCATCTGAGAAGATGCCATCCTGATAAAACAGAGAAAGATTTGAAATACTATCAAACACTCAAAGATAAATTGCAGAAGAGACCTAAACTGGACAGAATGTTCGCTTCGACATCACAAAGAAATGATGATGGTTTGCGGGCGTCCTGCAATATCTCGTTACTTATAGCAAAATCCGGAAAACCGCATATTATCGGAGAGAAGTTAATTTTGCCAGCCGTTGAAGAGGTTTTAAAAACTGTTTTACACAAACCTGCATCTGCTATCATTAAAAGAATTCCCTTAAGCAACAATACTGTTGAAAGGCGTATTGATGAAATAAGTTCTGATATTGAAAGCTTCTTGTGTAATTATTTGCAAACGACCCAAATCTCTATACAACTGGACGAGTTAACTTTACCTGATAATGCAGCATTATTATTGGCATATGTTTGTTTTATTATGAATCAAGAAATCTACGAAGAACTGCTCTTCCAAGAACTTTGATAACCGACACTAAAGGTGAATCAATATTTCATGTTTTGAAGGATTACTTCATTGAAAAAGGAATTCCTTCATCAAATATAATATCAGTAGCTACAGATGGAGGACCTGCCATGGTTGGACGTTATCGTGGATTTATAAGCTATTTAAAACAAAATGCGTCAGGGGTGTTAGCAATACATTGCGTCATCCATCGACAACATTTAGTTGCTAAAAATTTGAGTGTTAGATTGCATGAATCACTTCATTTAGTCATTGATGCAGTAAACCGAATCCGAAGCAACGCGTTGAATACGTGGTTATTTTCGCAGTTGTGTGAAGAAAATGACGAACACTTTCATCAATTACTCCTTCATACTGAAGTTCGCTGGCTGTCGAAAGGCTTATTTTTGACAAGATTTTTTGCACCTTTTGAGACTATTTTAGAATTTCTGGATACTAAAGATAAAATTTTAAAAGAAAATTTAATGAAGAGGAAAACAGACATCGCCTATTTAACAGATTTGTTTACAAAATTTAATATGGTTAATTTGCAATTACAAGGCGACAGTTTAAATTTGATTAAAACAAAGTCCATCTTATCAGCGTTTCTTGCCAGGGTTAAACTAATGAAGCAAAATATTTTCTCAGTTCCCCAATTTGTCACAGACAAGCTGCCAGGAAGACGACGTTTCAACTTACGTTCAACATTTAAATGCTCTCTATTCAGATTTTGAATCTAGGTTTGAGGATATTTTGACTATGGTAATACCACCGTGGATAATTAATCCATATGGTGACATAGAAGAAACGAATGTCATAATACAAGAGGAACTGACTGAACTAAGTACAAACGAAGAACTTAAGGTTCAGTTTAAAAACGAATATCAGCAATCCTGGCTGCAAAACAACATACCCGTTACTTGTCCCGCATTATGGAATATAGCGAGGAAATTTTTAATTTCCTTTCCATCGACCTACCTAGTGGAAAGGGGGTTCAGCGCTGTTACCAATCTCCTAACGAAGAAAAAGAAACAGACTGGACATCATTAGCCGAGGAGATTTAAGATTAACCCTTACAAAATTGACGCCCAATGTTGATACTTTATTATTAAAGCATCAGGTTCATCCTTCTCACTAAAAATATTGACTTATTGCTTATGTTATTTTATTTTATGTTTATTGGTGTCTGACCAATAAATGCCCGCATTGGGAATAAGTGCACGCATTGATTTTTTTAAAGAACCCCCCTTTATAGAAAATATTTTTTTTTAAATTATTCTGAAAATTCAAGGATAGGTACACACTAAAATTCGTTAGTTTTTTGCCTTTTTTAGATAACTTAAACGTATAAGAAGCGGAATTTAATCAAACTAACAGTGAAATTATTGTAGAACATACCTTTATGTTATAATTAATAAACGAACTCGTTTATTGTACTATTTTAAGTAAAAAAACTTTTTTTTATTATTTTTCACTTTTTTTTATTTTATCCCTCTTATTTTTTTTTTCAATGCGGGCATTTATTCCCAATGCGGGCACTTATTGGTCAGACACCTGTTTATTTAATGTTACGTATATTTTACATAACAGATACAAAATTTTATTTTGAGTAGTTTTAATTTAAATTCAATTAATAAGTGTATAAATTAACATGTGTTTTTACTTTAAGTTTTTAACACTAAACTTCACTACAGTTAGAAATTTACAGGAAATCAATATCAGGTATGTAGGGGGTCTACCCAACACGGAAAAACATGCCAAGTTGCACCGAACGGGTTTATTGAGTACTTCAAGAATTCATTAAAACTGTGAAATGAAACCGGAAATAACACCAATTGATTTTTAAATAAACCTTCAGGTTGTAGTTACGAGGGATGTCTCTTAAGTTTTGCATATAGAAACATAGTAGGCCGCGCGGATCGAACGTCAGTACTGAATCTTAACGTCACTCTTAAGTAAACTTAAATTTAAAGTTTCACAACAATACGTGCAGTGTTCTCATTACAGTGAATTTTTAAGTGTCACCAAGTCATTAGAAAAATGGAACTCAACCGAGAACATTTTCGCGAAATAATTTATTACTTTCAGAGACAATTATCGCAACAAGAATGCCTTGCTCAGTTACTGTCTGTTTTCGGCAACGAAGCGCCACATCAGTCGACAATTTCCCGTTGGTATGAAGAATTCAAACCTGGACGGGTGAGTCTTAGCCACGATTCCAGGGTGGGTGCACCAAAAAACGGCAGTCTCCCAGGAAAACGTCGATGCTGTGCGCAAACTCATCATTGAAGATAGACATGTGACATATCGCGAGATTGAGGCGTCCTTGAAGATCTCAAAGACCTCAATTCAAAAAATTTTACATGAAGAATTAGGAGTAAGAAAATTAGTTTCTCGTTGGATACCCCACCTGTTGACTGAAGAGCAGAAAGCAGCAGGGTTAATTGATGTCAAAAAACGCTTGACCGTTTCAATTCCGGAAACTCAAAAAATGTGTACAGCATTGTTAGTGGTGATGAATCGTGGATTTACTGTTATGAACAAGAAAATAAACGACAGTCGGCTGTTTGGGTGTTCCACGGCGAAGGAAAGCCAACAAAAGTCATCCGTTCTCGAAGTGTTTCGAAAAAGATGGTCGCGACATTTGTGTCAAAAGCGGGTCATATTGCAGCAATTCCTCTTAATGAGCAAAAAACTGTTACTGCGGATTGGTATACCATCATTTGTTTGCCAAAAGTCATCACCGAGCTTCGAAAAATCAACCCCGAAAGAAGAATCATCCTCCACCAAGACAATGCAAGCGCACACAGCCCAAAAAACAAGGCAGTATTTAACGGAAGAAAGCGTGGAATTATTGGACCATCCTCCATATGGCCCCGATCTAAGTCCTGACGATTTCTTTACTTTCCCGAAAATTAAAAACAGACTGCGTGGTCAAAGGTTCCAGTCACCAGAAGAAGCAGTTGACGCATTAAAAAATGCCGTTTTGGATCTGCCAGTACACGAGTGGAATAAGTGCTGTGTATTAATCTTCGTGGAGAATACTTCGAAAAACAATAAAGTCATTTAAAACTACCTACCGTGTTGTTTTATTTCCATATGCAAAACTTAAAAGATATCCCTCGTATCACTTTTAGCATGAGAGCACCTACGATGAAAGCATGAATGCCTTTTCAAAAATAAAAACCTACATGGAACTTTCTTATCTAGATCAACTGGTTTTAAAAGTGTTAAAGTATCCTTAAAAGTGTTTACTGAATTTATACCTTTACGGTTAACATATGAAAAT